TACCTACTAAGGTAAATGTTAACTTGTAACTGGTGGTAGGACCTCGTGTCAGTCCGCACGGGTAGGTACCACCACCCTACCTATTTAGTAAATAATAATAATAATAATAATAATTGACATGGTGGTATGATTCTGTTTAAAGTATTGTTAAGCGCTAGCTCTGTGTACAGGGTCCCGCTGGACCAGTACACAGTCCCGGCGTGTCTGCACACGGGAGACGCCGTCAATGACGAGCGGGCCTCCGCCACCGGCTGGGGACTCACCGAGAACCGGGGCTCCACGTCGGACGTGCTGCAGAAGGTACGGAGCCAATTATGTCATTTTTGTTCAATGCAAGCGGACCAAAGCTCTGCCTACCACTATCCTTCCCAGGATACTTGGATTATCCAGAACATTCCAGGGGCGGTAGTGATATGTAGATAGGGTTTTGAGGGTAGATGGAAATTTAATTATTTACTGGTAGTAGAACCTCTTGTGAGTCCGCGCGGGTAGGTACCATCGCCCTGCCTATTTCTGCTGTAAAGCAGTAATGCGTTTCGATTTGAAGGGTGGGGCAGCCGTTTTAACTCTCCTTGAGACCTTAGAACTTATATTTCAAGGTGGGTGGCGCATTTACGTTGTAGATGCTAAGGGCTCCAGTAACCATTTTAACACCAGGTGGGCTGTGAGCTTGTCCACCCATCTAAGCAATAAAAAAAAACACTACAGGGTCAGCTACTGCGAACTATAGGCGCCGCCATATTGGCCTTGGCTGCTCTGGCGAGCGCCTCTCACTTTATCCCTACTCCGCGACCGACCGTCACGCGACATGCAACACACAGACGAAAAAGTTTGAGACGATGTAATAAAAATCTCACCAAGTCTTATTTCCGCAGGTGGTACTAACTAAGTTCACGTCGGCGGAATGCTCCGAGAAGTACCCGACCAATCGCAACATGAAGCGCGGGTTCGACCCTCGGACTCAGATGTGCTACGGAGACAGGACATTGTCCAGAGACACTTGTCAGGTATCCATTCTTTGTAATTCCGGTCTATACGCGTCACCAAGACAACTGGTTCTTAATGAGACTATACAGATCATAAGGTCTTCTTAACCCGCAGACACAGCTCGCTGAGTTTCTCGCCGGTCATCTCAGTGGGCTGCGTTTCCAATCCGGTGGTTTTTTTTTTGCTGATATGGGTGGACGAGCTCACAGACCACCTGGTATTAAGTGGTTACTGGAGCCCCTAGACATCGCCAATGTAAATGCGCCTTCCACATTCAGATATAAGTTCTAAGGTCTCACAAGTATAGTTACAACGGCTGCCCTACCCTTCAAACCGAAACGCATTACTGCTCCACGGCAGAACTAGGCAGGACGGTGGTACCTACCCGCGCGGAATCACAAGAGGTCCCACCACCAGTGCCTAATTACGCAAATTATAATTCGATTCTAGTATATTCTATAAGTAGATTCTGCGAAGCACTGCTCTTGCTAGGGTCAGTGTTAGCATCACTCCGGTTTGAGCCCCAAGAGCTCACTTACTAGCTAAGGTTACGCTGACATAGCCTCTCAAGGCTTAGGTAGGAAGAAAAGGTCTTCTCGTAACGAATTCCAGATCTGGGAGCAATTTAATATCAGGTGGATGATCAGTTCATCTTATCTCCTACATCAGGGCGTTAGTTTAAAGCTTGGTTTTTGTTGAGGCATTACCCAAACGCGCCCAAAAGACAAGATGACAGTTGTACTGGTATTGAATATATGTTGATGACCAAATCCTGACGCCAATAAGGACCTAACGGAGCAATCGACCTGTTTCTACTGTGAAGTAAGCACGCCATCTAGTTTCACTGATGGTAGGACCTCTTGGGAGGCCGCACGGGTAGGTACCACCACCCCGCCTATTTCCTCCGTGAAGCAGTAATGCGTTTCGGTTTGAAGGGTGGGGCAGCCGTTGTAATTAGACTGAGATCTTAGAACTGATATCTCAAGGTGGGTGGTGTATTTACGTTGTGGATGTCTATGGGCTCCAGCAACCACTTAACACCAGATGGGCTGTGAGCTCGTCCACTCATCTAAGCAATAAAACAATGAACTTCCGTATTATAAAAATAGTAATTTTAAGTTCAATTTGAGGTATAAAGAAAATAATTATTCGGGTATACATTTTTTATTATGATTTTTTATTGATAAAAAAAAAACTACTTCAACTTTATTTTATTCACAATGATTTATAAAAAATATAAAATAATAAAAATATACAAAGAAACAGCTATTTATATGAATAATAATAATAACCATCATCACGTAGACTATACATTAGACACTGTATAGCCATCATACTAAGACTATACAAAAATAATAAAATTTTACGTTACGGACGTTTTCCCGGTTAGGGTATCCCTCCGCATCGTTCCATAAGGAACTTCGTTCCAAAAGTCTGAAGAGCAGCCGTCATATGTACGTGAGATTCCCTAACTAGGTCTTCTGTTGCAGGGCGATAGCGGAGGTCCTATACAGATAAAAAGCAAGAAGATGGACTGTATGTACGTCGTGATAGGCGTGACGTCGTTTGGTCGGGCCTGTGGTTACGCGGGCGAGCCCGGGATCTACACCAGGGTCAGCCACTACGTACCCTGGATAGAGAGTGTCGTCTGGCCTTAGATATAAATAAAGTTGTTATAAGAAAACGTTTCTCATTTATCACGAACCTGGCCCTTATCTGGACTGTAGCAGCTAACCCTTCCAGGGTTTTAAAAAGCACCCCACGCTTTTTGACGTGACAACGTCTTATAATTCGACGGAGCCGGCTGCACGCACGAAAAAACATGACTCATGCGGCGTTACCTCGCTCTGAGGCGTTCCATTTAAGGCTTGAAGTGCAAGCGAGAGCGCGCAACGAGCGACAAAGAGGCACAATCGGCTTCCGCGTTGGGCAGCGTTCGACATCTGTGTCTCTCCTACTTGAGTGAGCGATGCATCCGCGTGGACAGCTGCTATACAATAAGACATTTACATGTTTTCGTCGATAATTGAAAAATGAAACCATTCCATCAGTATTTTCTTATGACGTTGTCACGTTCAACTATCGTCAGTAAACCGAGTTTACAGACAACCGATTTTTTTAAAACAATCAATTTCTTTTAAAAATTTTTGTTGGATTTTCTATAAAAGCCTGCTTTTTTGTTTTTTCTTAAACTATTTTCTATTTTTTTTTTTTGTTTAAGTTGCATATTATAGTATATTATTCATTAATGTACATTCAGTCAAATACAACAATTTCCAATTTGTTAAGTGAAAAAAAGGCGCTCAAGTGAATTCCTTGGAAGAAATCCTTGTTTTTGACTTAAATTATTGATACGATGAATGACAGGTTTTTGCAGTCTACCCTTGTGACGAGCTTATAAGCTTCCTATATCTGTTATACTAGATTTTTCACTAACTATTGGCTAACCATTGACATTACAATTAAACAATACTGTTACGCGCTGGGGTCGGGATAAATATATGTTCCATCAAAGTACAACTTAACACTATGTTAGCACTTAGAACGCTTAAAACACTTCATAAGCACTTTAAAATTCTCAATTCGCTTCTTCCGCTTCGCTTCAGGTGATCCGTTCGCTGTTTCGCTTCAAGTAATTCCGATTACTAACTGACTGCATGCCATCTCTGCAACGCTTTTATAGTCGAGACGAAATTCCTAGAATCGTCGAGAATATTCCACACAAGTCGAGTATTGTGTGTTTCCGATATCTGACAATAGATGGCGTTGTACTTCTCGAGCGTTCTAGATGCTTCGATATTTGTTCGGCTATTCGGCGATATATGGCGTTACTCTTACCGGTGTAACAATACAAACATGTTTCTATTGACCAGACCTCAAGATCTGTCAGGCTTTGTGGAAAGTATTTGACGGTAGGCAGCGGATTGGTTTTGCCCTTGGCATTGCTGGCGTCCATAGGCGACGGTAACAACTCACCATACCATGAGACGTTGGCCATACCCGCGTCTTTGTAGATAGGCAATAAAAAAAAGATATCATTAGTACGTTCATTTCACACAAAGCTTATTTATTATAAATTATAGTATACTAGTGGTCCCCCAGTAGTCGAAATTCGAGTATAATTAATTGAAATTATAAGTGTGAACATTATTATGTTTCTATTGTCAAAGACTTTTATACTTCTATAATCACAAATTTCGCTAAGACTACACTATAGACAATTAATATAAAAGACAAACAATATTAATCTATTCTCAATTTGACCACAGACTTTAACAATAATAAAAGATGAAAAGAGTATAATATATGCGTGTGTGTCTCAAATACATGGTAGTGTGTGAAATGTTTTATTGATTTAATGTACGTTTTGGGCGTAATTAAAAAAATATTAACATTCTGCACTCTTTCTCTCTTATTATTCTCTATAAGCGTGTGAAATTTCCCGGCAATTTTCGTAAAAAGCAGTACAAAGTTCTTGCTTCACGTATTAATATATCGATTAAGACATATATTACAGTTTTAACTACTTATGGACACACAATTTGTAATTATATTAATGCTAGATAAATTCTTATTAATTAAAACTTTGTCTTCGACGCGAAAACTAGGAGAAAAAGGCTATATACAGGAGGATCTTTCAAGGGTACACCAAGCCGCAATAATGTTCTATTGGAATAATGCTTATTAAAGAGTTAAACCCTAAAGTTCCTAGCAGTGGGGGTCGCCGCCCCCCGTGGATCTGTCGCAGTTGCCACACCCTGAGTTCACACAAGGACAAGACACAAAAAAAAACACATATACCCACATTTATTTATATTTATTTCCACACCAAAAATTATACAAAAAATAGTTTCTTATAAGTATCGAAGTAAATTATATTGTGAGTGAACGAACGAATGAAGCGAATGAAATGAATTAGTTATGTTAAATGAACGAACGACAGAGCATCCATTCGATGAGCCAATAAGTGACATTGGCATTAACAGGGGGGGTGTCGATGGGGTCAGCTTGCGTCACAGCCAGGGCTCCCAGCCCGCCCTGGTGGCGCCCAGCACGCGCGGGTCTGTGCAGTGGCGCAGCAGAACTTGTACCTGAAAGGACCCTCATTTAGTATCTATACTTCACTACATAGTATAAAACAAAGTCGCTTTCTCTGTCCCTAGATCTGTCTGTACCTATGTATGCTTAAATCTTTAAAACTACGCAACGGATTTTGATGCGGTTTTTTTTAATAGATAGAGTGATTGAAGAGGAAGGTTTATATGTATAATAACATCCGTTAAATAGTGGAGAAATCAATAATAAATTACAGTTTCCGAAGCGAAGCGAGGACGGGTCGCTAGTAATATTATAAGGCTGAAGAGTTTGTTTGTTTGAACGCGCTAATCTCAGGAACTACTGGTCCGATTTGAAAAATTCTTTCAGTGTTAGATGCTCATTTATTGAGGACGGCTATAAGTTATATAACATCACGCTAAGACCAATACAAGTGGAGCACCAATAAAGAATGTTTCAAAATAGGAGTTTACAATATCTCCTTAACATTCTACAATTCAAAAGTATTTTCACTTTCTACGTAAATGAAGTGGGGGGTAAAATTTTGCGTTATACCAAAGTAACTATTCCACGCAGACGGAGTCGCGGGCAAAAGCAATTTTTTTTATTTTTATTGCCTAGATGGGTGGACGAGCTCACAGCCCACCTGGTGTTAAGTGGTTACGGAAGCGCATAGACATCTACAACGTAAATACGCTACCCGCCTTGAGATATCAGTTCTAAGGTCTCAGTATAGTTACAGCGGATGCCCCACCCTTCAAACCGAAACGCATAACTGCTTCACGGCAGAAATAGTATCAAGTAATAATTCTTTCATTTCAAGACGAATTTAGTGGGCAGTAACCTGGTCCTTTACGTTGTAAGTGTCCGCCGCGGGTCGTCCCGGGAACACCTGCACCAGCAGCGCCCGGAGCCTGTCTAAATCCGGGTGTGGGTTCGCTTCCACCCGGATATCCGCCGAGGTGACCTTCCCTTCCAATATGGCTTTCACATGTGATAGCTGTAATGTTATAAATACTTTAGCTACGGTATAGCTACAGTCCGTTTCCTGAGATCTTTCTTGCCACGTACCATCCGGCTATGGAATGAGCTCCCCTCCACGGTGTTTCCCGAGCGCTATGACATGTCCTTCTTCAAACGAGGCTTGTGGAGAGTACTCAACGGTAGCGGCGGCTTGGCTCTGCCCCTGGCATTGCTGAAGTCCATTGGCGACGGTAACCACTTACCATCAGGTGGGTGGTATGCTCGTCTGCCTACAAGGGCAATAAAATAGCATTGATCGCCGTCAGTACTATTTATACTAATATATACATCTACAGTGGTTTTTACGGATGTTCCGTTATAACTACTGAACCATGCATTCGATTGACTTGAAACTTGGTATCCATGTAGATAATACATGTACTTAATGGATAGGCTAATATTTATATGAGTATTGGACTCCCTAATAATAATGACAATAAATAACAATGTTAATTTTAAATGCCCAGCGAAGCGGACGAGTACGGCTAGTAACCTATATAACTGGTTTTTATTATATCCCTCAAGAAGTTCCCAGAGGTTCCTCCACTCCGACTGCCTCACCTCGGGGAGGGAGGGGGTTGGGAGGGGGGCTCACCTGGGGTGGGCAGGCGGGGGCCGGCGCGTACAGCAGGCGTGCCGTCGCCAGGAAAGTCTCCCGGGAGTCCCTGAGCTGCGTCAGCGCGGTCTGCAGCCGACCCTCCAGCGCTGGGAAATCACATGAAGCGCCTTGTTGACTTGGGACGAGGAAAAATTGTAATTTGTTGATTGACTTTTAAAAAAAAAGAGGAGGTTCTCAATTCGGTGTGTTGTTTCTTTAGAACGTTTGTCAGGCTGAATAGATTTTGATGTGACAGTTTGGTTTCCATCAAGATCTGATCAGTGATTAACGGACTTCAACGAAATCGGATTTCTTTATTGCTAAATTTTTGTGTTATTTGTCGTTTGCGACCATGAAGTTGGTACTGTTAGTCATTTGTGACCATGAAGTTGGTACTGTTAGTCATTTGTGACAATAAAGTTGGTGCTGTTAGTCATTTGTGACAATAAAGTTGGTACTGTTAGCCATTTTTGACCATGAAGTTTATACTGTTAGTTGTTTGTTAGTCACGAAGTTGGTATTGTTAGTCATTTGTGACCATGAATTTTGTACTGTTAGTCATTTGTGACCATGAGTTTTAACGCTTCGCCCGGGCAGGTATCGCCATTTTAAGTCTACTGCAGCTTTGCGTATTACAATATTATTGAAACTCGACCTCAAACCTCAAAGCGGGTGACATTTAGGTGCACAAGTTCCTAAGCGAATATCAGATGGAAGTCAGGTATTGTAAAGCAGACCATATACCTATAGGGTCACACATAGCTAGCATGTTCCTGGTCAGCCGGGCTGGCGGCGGCTCCGAAAGCTGTCTCCTCTGCATCGTGGAGCCCCAGTCTATGCAACACAGGGCTCCGGTACCGGCCTCCACTAGGAAGTTCTCCATGTGACGATCTCCTACATCTGTGTTGTAATGATGAATGAGGTTTTACAAAACGTATGCTGTGAAGTCGTCGTGGCCTGAAGGATAAGACGTCCGGTGCATTCGTACGTAGCGATGCACCGGTGTTCCAATCCCGTAGACGGGTACCAATTTTTCTAATGAAATACGTACTTAACAAATGTTTACGATTGACTTCCACGGTGAAGGAATAACATCGTGTAATAAAAATCAAACCCGCAAAATTATAATTTGCATAATTACTGGTGGTAGGACCTCTTGTGAGTCCGCACGGGTAGGTACCACCGCCCCGCTTATTTCTGCCGTGAAGCAGTAATGCGTTTCGGTTTTAAGGGTGGGGCAGCCGTTGTAACTATACTTGAGACCTTAGAACTGATATCTCAAGGTGGGTGGCGCATTTACGTTGTAGATGTCTATGGGCTCCAGTAACCCCTTAACATTAGGTGGGCTGTGAGCTTGTCCACCCATCTAAGCAATAAATAAAAAATATGTCCATGCGCTCAAGTAACACCTGTAATTGAGTAAGACAACCATATCTGGCTCTTAGTTGGATTGGGAGACCGAAACATGAACAATTACCGAATATCCAGTTGAAGATTGTGATCGTGGCCAAGGAGTCTTGGAACCGTTTCTTCCTCCTGATGAAGTCTTCACTCGTGCAGCACAGCTCTTGGAACGTTGACCTGGTATTAGAACGTTCGAGAGCTGTTTATACGTATTGATAGTCTTGCGAGGCCCACATGGGTCGGCACTCATGCCCTGCTAATTACAGCTACAAAGCGACATTTCTCAACACGGATAAGACAACCAGGAAGATTATGTTCCTTGTTAAGTTAAATGCATCTATATAAACAGTCGACGTCGCCCAAAACACGTCATTACGGTTCCTGCCGATCCATTAACGGTGCTTCTAGGTACCACAAGCACCGGTCACCGTCCTCGTCGAACCTGTCGCTTGCGACGAAGGGCTCGACGAGCGAATTAACCCATAGACACAGCCCACTGAGTTTCGGGCCGGATCTTCTCAGTGGGTCGCGTTCCCGATACGGTGGTAGATTCTGCGAAGCACTGCTCTTGCTAGGGTCAGTCAACACTCCGGTTTGAGCCCCGTGAGCTCACCTACACGTTAGGGTGAAACTGAAATAGCCTCTCAAGGCTATCAGCATAGGTAGGAGGAATGAAATTACTATTTGCGATTTTGAAATAAAGACCTTTGCTCAATTGCGTCTTTGTTGGATCTGCCGGGCTTCAATTGGAGATGGTTTAAGCGATTTTTACGATGTGGCGGCACATCACTAGCCGTGTGTGCGGCCACCACTAGCACAAAACCCGTCCAGGCGACAGCGGTGTGCGGGGACGAGAGCGGGTAACGCGCAGAGGAACCTGCTCCCAGTTGGCCGCCGAGAGCGCAGTGCGCTACGAAACGACTCCAAGATCGAACCTACGCAGCTCTGCTCGCACGCGCATACAAATATTATATTTCTCGTCTCACCGAATAAAACGCATTAAAGTCAGTTTAGTTCTTATTGCTACGACGCCTTCCCGCTCACACAAGTACCATAACGAGATTTACATTAACAGGTGGAAAGGTTCTCAGAGAGTAATCTGGACAGTTGGGCAGCCGTTTACCGTCGATACATTTAGGGATCCGCACGAAAAAAAAAAAAAAGCCTTAGTTATGGGACACAATTTAAAATTAATTTGAATCACGATGTAAGGCCGCGTCCACGTCGCACATACACTCGCTAACGGTACTTGGGTGAAGGATGCGTGTGATCGTGAACAGGAGACGCCGCAATCTTCTGAAATTCTTCAATCAATCCTCAAAAAACCATTAGATAACTGTAAGGATTTAACATTCTCACTGTGTACCTTAGGGCCGTGGCGGGTACCTTCCCGCAGAAACGCTCGTGAGTTAAGGCCAGTCGGCTCGGCGGCTCGGCAAGCAGATCCGCGTCCAGAGGTCTCGAGACCCCCACTGAAAAAATATATTTATATACATTTATAAAAAAGAATCTGCATAATGTCTAGACGCGCATAACTTCAGAACGCCGGCAACAAATTGGTTTTTTTTTTTTTTTATTGTGTTTGTTATTGTCAAGAGAAGGTTTTTATGAAACAATATATTAAGAAAAATGCACGAAAAATACTATATTGATGTGCCTCTGGAAAACATACAGCATTGTATTATGAAGAAGCCGTGTGTACTTAGCTTAAGTTCCTTGTCTATACCGTTCCTTGTCTATACTCAACCATAGACTGTCAATGTAGTTCCATCTTTAGCCGCCAGGCGTGGCCAGCAAGTATAAGAGAGCGCAGCCGTCTTTCGTCCTCATAGCGTTGTGTACTTTCGTAGCGTGAGGCCGAAAAATCTTAAAATATTTATTCGATCTGTTACTGATTGTAAAAAATATTCCTTTTGAGCTTCAAAGAGTGTTACTTTGCAATCACTACAAGTGTTAGGTACCAGTCCTATCGTCAGGCACCATGAATCACGCGTCATCTGTTGGGGGTGATGTCGTTTCAAATTTAACAACGTCCGAGAGGGAAGGTATACAGGAGGAACGCGATGGGGACACCTCGCGGTCGAGCTGTTCGACGTCAAGCGAAGAAGAACATGAGGAGCCTCTCCGTAAGAAACAACGGGATTCAAAGGTAACGGTCGATCTCCGAATCGACGCGTTATCCCACCAGGTCAGTGCCCTTACAAATTTAATAATGCATCAACAGTGTGCAACAAGTAATAGCAACGAAAATTGTTGCGAACCTATTGTTGAACACGTTAATCACGTTGATACGGAATACTTGACAAATCCTTCAACAACAGAGCCAAAATCACTGGCACTAGGTATTTGTAAGACAGACTTCGATGACAAAAAATTCATCAAACCTGCTGACGACAACAGATTGAAACAACTAATTGATCTCCAACATTTTAACTCGCCTAATTGGCAACATGTTCATTATAATAAAGTGCTAAAGGAGATGATCGCGCAACCGGGCTTTTGCAATCTAAAGATCAACGACGAATTGTGTTGTCTTAATAAAGAAAAAGATTACCTAGCACCCACAGAGCAATTCATAGCTGCACTGACTAATGCTTTGTTGTACCAAAGGGAAATATTACAATCGGGGTTACAAGGGATCGTTGACTGGGCCCATAAAAATCCAACAGAATTAAATTCCGATCATCTTTTTAATAAAATTACTGAAAACTTTGGTATATCATCGCCATTGTACAAATTATCCGAACAAACACTGCAGATTGTATGCGGAAAAAGGGCCGAATGCATAGGAATAAGACGTCAGAGGTTAATTTCTGGCATTTCTGGATGTTCGACCAGCCCATACCGTGGGCCCCGAAGGTCAAATACTTAGGCGTCACCCTCGACAGTAGGATGACATTCCGCCCCCACATTAAGACGGTACGCGACCGTGCCACCTTCATTCTAGGACGTCTCTACCCGATGATATGTAGGCGAAGTAAAATGTCCCTTAGAAATAAGGTGACACTCTACAAAACTTGCATACGCCCCGTCATGACCTATGCAAGTGTAGTGTTCGCTCACGCGGCCCGCATACACCTAAAAACATTTCAAATTATTCAATCCCGTTTTTGCAGGATAGCCGTCGGAGCCCCGTGGTTCGTCNTCCCCGGTATAGCGGCGGCGGGCAGCAGGCGGCTGGCGGCGCGGTCGTGCAGCAGCTGGTCTCGCTTCACAAGCCAGCGCCGGGTGACCCCGCTGCTGAGCAGCGCCCGTACCATGCAGGGTCTGCGGATGCTGGGCATCACGGAGACCTGCCAAACGCGCCAGCAGGGTAACTTGTACTGGTGGTAGGACCTCTTGTGTATCCGCGCGGATAAGTACCACTGTGCTGCCTATTTCTGCCGTGAAGCAGTAATGCGTTTCGGTTTGAAGGGTGGGGCAGCCGTTGTAACTATACTTGATACCTTAGAACTTATATCTCAAGGTGGGTGGCGCATTTGCGTGATGTCTATGGGTTCCAGTAACCACTTAACGCCAGGTGGGCTGTGAGTTTGTTCACCCATCTAAGCAATAAAAAAAAAACAGATCATCATTATTATCATCAGCCTATAGCAGTTTTACAACCCTAATTTGGTACAGAGGCGACGTATTCATAATGTCTGTAGAACCATCCCATTTAAAACTCAATTTATCCATAGATTCTTTTGCTACTTAGGTCCCATTCTTTATAATAAAATTAATAAACACCTTAATATTAGAGGTCCCGCAGTAGTCGAAATTCGACTATAATATAAACTCTTCTATAATCACAAATTTCGCCAAGGCTACACTATAAAAAATATTAATAAAGACAAACAGTATTTAATCTATTCTCAATTTGACAACAGACGTCAAGAACAAAAGTTTGACAATAAATAGTATGCATGCGTGTGTGCGTCAAATACATGGTATGTAGTGTGTGTAATGTTTTCTTTATTGATTTAATGTATCTTTTAAGCATTATTTAAAAAAAAATTTAGCATTGTGCACTTCTTCTCTATGTTCTCTATAAGTGTGGAAAATTTCATACTCCTCCGTCCCCGTAATTTTCGTAAAAAGGGATACAAATTTTTTCCTTCACGTATTAATATATAGATATATCCCCTAGACAGCAAGAAATGCAGAACTTCTACATTTCATTGGTTGCTTAATTTCAACTATTAGGACACTGATTTTTTGTTAAATACCTTTTAATGTTTTTGACTACACCCACACACACCCTCTTACACTCACTCATACTCAGACTCATGACTCACCTCTTCGTAGAACTCCACAACGGTGACGCCGGGCGGCAGCTGTAGCACGGCGGACACGCAATCGCCCGCCGCGGGCTCCGCCCCCAACCCCCCGCACAGCTGCGACAGGCGGAGCGTCGGGCGGTACCCCCCCCTACCCGCCCCCTCCTGTACGCGACGCAGAGTCCTGATCTTTGTTTCAGTGTCACTGTTCTCTGTCAGATAGTTAAATTCAATTAAAGTTAGCATACACGACACGGATTTCTAGATAGTAAATATATCGGAGACTGTCATTAGTTTGGTAGCTAAACGAAACGCAGCACGATTCCCGAGAGATGGTAGAGGAAGAAGATGATTTTTTACTGGTGGTAGGACCTCTTGCGAGTCCGCATGGGTGGGTACCACCGCTCTGCCTATTTCAGCCGTGAAGCAGTAATGCGTTACGGTTAGAAAGGTGGGGCAGCCATTGTAACTATACTGAGACCTTAGAACTCATATCTCAAGGTGGGTGGCGCATTTACGTTGTAGATGTCTATGGACTCCAGTAACCACTTAAAACCAGGTGGGCTGTGAGCTCGTCCACGCATCTAAGCAATAAAAAAAAGGAGAGGTTGAAGCTTCAATTCCCTAGTATAGCGGCTGCCCCACCCTTCCAACTGGACAGAGTTTGCTGGTCTTGACGATGAATTGGATGCAAAACCAACAGGAGGTGCTGATACCAGTGGGTCATCAGATGAGACCTCCTTTCTGCAATAGGGGCCGCAACACGGGGCACGTCGCAGAAGCGGTCACGGCGGTGACCACGACAATTACAATTTACATACTGCTTACGATGACCCAGTCATGACCTTAAGGTGATCGCTTTCCACCACCGGAGCCAATTTGACCACTCCTCAAATTGGGAGGCGACACATTACAGCATATACGCATCAACACCATAGATAATACACATAAATTAGTTATAGATAAGCAACTCAAGCACTCAACAAAAATGTTTACGGGCGTCAGCCACTAGATGGCTTCGCTTCGATTAGTTTCTCATGGCTCCTGTAGATGGCAGTAACATATTATCTATCCTATAGAACCAACCAAGAAACCACAAATTGATAAAATTTAATCAATTTGTCTATAACAAATAAATATTTGTATGATATATTATTTTTTTATTTTCTGTGTTTAGCATGCAAGTTTAGGGGCATCCGCTACAAGATGTCGCTAGTTTCCATACAAAATTTTTTTTTGTCTTAAGGTATCGCAGTTTCAGGACCCTGATCAACACTCATGTAAAGTAAAATAAGTTAAGTTGGCAACCGCCAGCGTCCCCCGGTGTTGCCACTCACCATAGTCCTCTATATCGAACAGAGCGCTCTTGTAGTTTTCCAACAGCAGATACTCCGGGCCCCCGCCGCCATCATACATATCCGACTTCACCCTGTCGAAGATCATCTTCCACTGGCTTGGGTCTGAAAGGTACGATGATACTATGTAATTTATACACTAAACTAGCGGACCGCTCCGGCTCCGCTCGGGTCCTTAACAAAAATTTCAACGATATTTGACGTTGTTTTATTTTTTTAAATAAAAGATCACTTATTGCGGCATAACTATAATAGTTAGACATGTGCTGTCGCGACACTTTTTGTAAATAATAATGTGTTCTAAAAAGTCGTAGTACATTATTTTATTCTATCATCAATAGGTTTGGCAGGGCACGCGATGTAAAGAATATTTTAGGTAATTTTTTGACACCTTGGGTTACATTATTGGAGTTTCAGTAAGGATAGTTAATTTAAAAAAAGAAAAAAAACTTGAGAGATGTCAAGGGACACCCGGATGGAACGAAGTTCCTTTCGATTAATTAGTGAAGGAATAGTAATTTTTTTTTTTTTTTAAGTTATAGTAAAAAAAAATTTATTATTAGCAAATATAATGTTATATAAACTTAATCAGTAGGCTCAATTTTCGTAATTACTTCATACAATATGAATTACTTCGTACAATAGCTTACTATAGCAAAAAGGGTCGTGACAACTTTTCGTAAGAATTTTTTCCGTCTAGCCCCCTTTCACAACACGCGATAAGGAACTTCGTTCCAATCCTATGTCACTCGGGAATAGTGTAGCTTCCGAACAGTGAAATAATTTTTCAAATCGGTTCAGTAGTTTCGGAGCCTATTCAATACAAGCAAACAAACAAATCTTTCCTCTTTATAATATTAGTATAGAAGTACAGGTGGGCATGTTTACATAGCATATTGAATTGAACATTTTGAAATGTTATTATCTACAACTAAATATGTATGTCACGTGACGCATTATGGTTTCTAGCTTGAAAAAGTTTAAGCAACTATTTTTTAAGTGGTTATTGGAGCCCATAGACATCTACAACGTAAATGCCGCCACCCACCTTGAGATATGAGTTCTAAAGGTCTCAGTATAGTTACAACGGCTGCCCCACCCTTCAAACCGAAACGCATTACTGCTTCACGGCAGAAATAGGCGGGGTGGTGGTACCTACCCGCGCGGACTCACAAGAGGTCTTATCAGTAAATGACCACCATTTTACTGAGATTATATTTCATCCCATATCATCTTATCTCACTATATTTAATTTTATCCGAGTTGATTAATGTCTCAAATTAATCATCTTCATTTCATTTCATTTCATCACTTTTCATAAAAATAAGAATCTATACTAATATATAAATCAGTACAGTGGTTTTTACGGATGTTCCGTTATAAATACTGAACCATGCATCCGATTGACTTGAAACTTGGTATCCATGTAGAACATACATGTACTTAATGGATAGGCTAATATTTATATGAGTGTTGGACTCCCTACACCAGTTGCGGGGGCGTTAATGATGAAGAATCTTTGCGGGGATGAGAAAGAGTAATGTTAATTTTAAATGGTCGGCGAAGCGGACGGGTGGGTACCTACATCTAGTATAACATCAAATGAGACATGACCTAAAGGTCTTAGTTACCAGGTCATAAAATTATTTAAAAAAAAAAATTGGTGTAGGTGCTCACCGGCTCGAGTAGCGGCCTCTAGCAGGTCGCCGCAGTACATCACCAGCGTGTACTCCGGGTCGCACACCAACCGCAAGCGGCGCTTAAACGTCTCTGCTCGCCCCTCGAACTCGAGTTGAGAGGACAAATGCTTGTAGTTGCGGAGGGCCGACGCCGAACGTCGCAGGCGGGAGACCAGCTCGGTCCTGTGCCAGTCCTGCAGCGCGGGGAACGCCAGCTCCAACTGGAAGTCAGAGGGGGCGAAGACCGGGGCGGTGGGTTGGGGGGCAGGGGTCGAGGAGACGCGCCGATGAGAGTTCCAGTTTGACCAATCGTGCGATATAATTACTTTTAAAAATTTTAATTTGCGTAATTATAGGTGGTGGGACCTATTTCTGCCGTGAAGCAGTAATGAGTTTAAGCTTGAAGGGTAGGGCAGCCGTTGTAATTATACTTGAGACCTTAGAACTTATATCTCAAGGTGGGTGGCGCATTTACGTCATAGATGTCTATGGTCTCCAGTAACCACTTAACACCAGGAGGGCTGTGAGCTCGTCCACCCATCTGATAATAATACTTCATACCTATACAAACACATACACGATATATATATATATATATATATATCATCACATGCAACAACGAACACAATATTATAACATGATAATAATATAAAATTTACACATATAAAAATAAACGTTTCATACAAATATACGTTAACTTTTACGCTATCGAGAACGTTAAAAAAATCACACTCCCACGAGGACGTTAGGAGCCTACCTTCTCCAGCACGTTGTCCGGCGCCGAATCCGGCAGCCGGTCGCACGCGGCCGCCACGAGCGCGCCAAGTCGGACCGTGTGCGCGCGGGCCGCCTGTACCATCACATCCAGCATCCACAAAAATATTTCTTTTCTTCGTTCATCTGAAAGCAGTTCGGAATGGTATACGTATATGACTTGTATCGGTCCGGGGCCTGAACCTCTTACCAGGGGGCAGGATATAAGGGTCTCGGAGGCTGAAGATGTTAAGCGTCCCCACTAAGCACCTCCCCTGCGCTCTCGTCCGACACCGAGATAACCCAGGCAAGGTCCCTAGGGGTTCCGCAATCAATGCCACAGTCAGACGCGCAGATCATCCCAAGGGGGGCCTGGACGGTGTCGCTGCTGTCCAGGAGCACTTGCTGCATGAGGACCAGCCGGGACGGAGCACGATTCACGGCCCGGTGGTGCTGTAGTTAAGGTCTTGGACTGCTGGCCCGAGGATTGTTGGTTCCAGTTCCGCATAAGACAAACATTTGACGTGATGAACAGGTTTGTTTGCTCTTTGGGTAATTAACATCTATTTATGTATGTATGTATATATATGACGGATTGGCCGGTTCCATGGTGGTTTTAAAATGATGATGTCAGCCTTCCTGACGCCGTTCTCTTCATCATTATCATTTGCCTTACATAGTGACAACAATTGAGATTCACTTTTCCAATGAATTCCGTTTATTGTATTTTGAGTGTACAGCGATAAAAATGGAGAGCTCCGCTCCGTTCGACTGCTCGAGTCGGAATGTTTTGTGCGACAACAGTCACTCATATTTACGAGTATAGTAGAAAATGGGAGTAGTTTAGTCATGAATTCTCTTGAATACCGTCTCAAATAGTTGTTGACGTGGATAACATTAATGAAACAGTTAATTTTAACAATTTTTAGTTTAAATAGTGATATTGCGCCGACACTTATATTTAAGCGTATATAAGTATGTACGTTAGTCTGGTTCCCATGGTGCAGGGGAGGAACATAGGTGTCCGTATGTGACTTGTCCTGGATTCTTATATAAACAAAAGATAAAGCAATCTCCTTTTAATGTATGTTTTGTGGGAAAATGAACAATATCACGAGTTTTTAAGACTGCTTATCTGTGATCTGCAAAAACATGAGCACACTTACCATCGCTTTCGGTCCACAAGTGGTTGTAGTAAACGAAGTACATCTCGTACATGGAGTCCAGGGCGCGCCTGCTGTCCGGAGACACCGCCCCGCCCCGCTGCAGCCTCCTGTCCACGGTCTGCAGCACGGCGTCCATGGAAGCTTGGTTCATAGCTGGAGGGGGGGAACCGAGGGTGAGGGGACGGTGGTTCGCTTGGAGCTTCACACACAAAGCTCTATATTGCTTTAGAAGCGAACGATTAATAGAATTGAAGTACCCGCTGGTCACACGTATTGTGGATGACCGCTTAGTGAAAGATGGACCAAGTTTTTTTTACCCCCCCCCCCCCCCGACACCCCTCCTTACATTACGCAGCAGAAATAGGCAGGGGGTAGTAACTGGTCGAGCAGACTCACGACAGCTCGCTGGTCAGGGGCTCAGAAACTTCGATACTTTAAGACAAAAAACATTTTTTGTATGGAAACTAGCGACATCTTGTAGCGGATGCCCCTAAACTTATATTTTGTTAAACACAGAAAAAAATCATTCAAGTATATATGTATTGTATTATATATGTACTAGCTGGCCCATCAAACGTTGTTTTGCCATATAAATTATTTCTAGGAAAGACAAATAACCTAGATACGATCGTGTTAGTAACGTCATCAGGTCTAAGCCCCGTGAGCTCACCTACTAGTTAAGGTTACGCTGATATAGCCTCTCAAGGCTATCAGCTTAGGTAGGAAAAAAAAGTGCTCCTAATGTTCTATTTGCGCCAGTGACGGCGATACTGCTCACGGGGGCCACTCATCGCTAAGCCAAGGTCGCCACTTACTGCCCAAGTCGCTTCTTATCCTCAGAAGCATCTCGTTGATACCGTAGAACTCTTCATCAGACGCGTGCTCCAACACGACGGGAGCGTGTCGCTCTACAGAACCAGAAAACAAAGAGCTGATAAACAATGAAAGGTGTTATTAAAAAAAAAACAGCACGCATTGTAATACAAAGTGATGTGCTCGAGGTCAATGACCCTGGCGTGCTGAGTGAAGTCTATTTGATCGCATATATATAGCGGCGAAGTAGATGGAAAGAGGCCTAGGGGGCATAGTCACATGCGCTGGTCCGATCAGATTAAGACGACTTTGGAATCCAGCATCAATGTCGCTATCCACTGCGCAGAGGACAGTAGTGAATGGAGGTACATAGTCCTAACAAAAGTGCTCCGTAAAGGTCACGACCCTCAGCACTGAGGAATACGCCGCACGGAGGAGGATAGATGACCGAGTTACCTGGTATAGCCCGGAGGCCATTGATGTCGCACCGTGAACCCTGAGACTTCAACCTTGAGACATAAGGCCAGAATGTCGGCTAACGCTTCAATGCTTGTCGGCAGAAATTAGCAGGTCGCCGCATTTACACAAGACCTTGGAGAATCATAAAATTATGTATCTTCTATATTTTCGGCATTCAGTTTCGACCTCAAAGCTCAAGTAGAAAGGACCATGGGCTCATCTAAACCGATCTGAACAAAAAAGGAAGCTCATATCGAATCAGACTCTCTCTGTATAGTACTTAAATCCATCGAGTCGGTTACCAGTGGTGGGAGGACGACTTGACCCCCCCCCCTCTCTCGAAGACCTTCGCTGGGAACTAACCTGCTTTAGTCAGAAGCTCGTCCAGCTTGCCACTCGCACCGGTGGCCATCTCCCTCTTCATTTTGAGGTTCAACAGCAGAAATTTAGGAACGTCAGCGTCGTTCAAGCTAAAAGACGAATCGTTTTAAGCTCATACCATTATCTGGTGGTAGGACGTCTTGTGAGTCCGCGCGGGTAGGTACCACCACCCTGCCTTTTTCTGCCGTGAAGCAGTAATACGTTTCGGTTTGAAGGGTGGGGCAGCCGTTGTAACTATACTGAGACCTTAGAACAGATATCTCAAGGTGGGTGGCGCATTTACGTCGTAGATGTCTATGGGCTCCAGTAACCACTTAACACCAGGTGGGCTGTTAGCTCGTCCACATATCTAAGCAATAAAAAAAAATCGTGGTCACGGGGGGACCGATGTGGGTGTTCGAAGTTGGTTTAATCCAGCGCATTGAAGTAATCCTGTTCCTTTTTTATTGCTTAGATGGTTGAATGAGCTCATGACACTCCGTGTTAAGTGGTTACCTGGGCCCATAGACATTTACAACGTAAAGCTGCTATCCACCTTGAGACATAAGTTTTAAAGTCATTTTTAACAGTACAACAGCTGCCCCACCCTTCAAATAGCAGAAACAGGCAGGGTACATGGTACCTACACGTGCGGACTAAAACGCCAGGGTTGTCTGACTTTACCCTTTATCTTTTGTTTGTTAATGTATGGTATAGTCTTTTGGGCCTTTTCGACAGGCTACACGGGGCTATACAATACGAATACAATACAATAAATGCCAGTCGAGAGAGAATACATGGAACTCGAAATGATTAATAATGAAGAATAATACAATATGGCCATTTGACCCCTCTACACCACCTTGAGCTTGACCACCGCTGAAGGAATAACATCGTGTAATAAAAATCAAACTCGCAAAATTATAATTTGCGTAATTACTGGTAAGACGTCTTGTGAGTCCGCGCGGGTAGGTACCACCGCCCTACCTATTTCCGCCGTGAAGCAGTAATGCGTTTCGGTTTGAAGGGCGGGGCAGCCGTTGTAACTTTTTTTTTTATTGCCTTGTAGGCAGACGAGCATACGACCCACCTGATGGTGAGTGGTTACCGTCGCCCGTGGACTACAGCAATGCCAGGGGCAGAGCCAAGCTGCTAAGACTATATACCTGAGACCTTAGAACTTATATCTCAAGGTGGGTGGCGGCATTTGCGTTGTAGATGTCTATGGGCTCCGGTAACCACTTAACACAAGGTGGGCTGTTAGCTCGTCCACCCATCTAAGCTATAAAAAAAAACCTTAAGGCGACTTGTAGGTAAGGCTTTAGAACATTAAATCCGGTGTAGCCATTCTACACAGAGCTGGAAGACCTGATGAGTTTGCAACTTACATCTGTCCCCTGGCCCGCTCGACGCAGGCGGAGACGTGTCCCCACAGAGCGGCGCGGGCGGCCCCCCCCGCCCAGCGCAGCTCCGCCGCCCCCGCGCCCCCCGCCACCCCCTGCGCGCACCTGCCGGGGCCAACGTCCTCAGTAGGTACATTAAGAATGATTAAAAGCAGTCCGTACCATAATTGTCGTTTTTAATACGCTTTTATTAGCGTCACACGTATGTATGTTTGTAACGGAATCTTTGAACATGATTTTGACCCTTCAAAACGTCGGATTAACTCGGAATTTGGTATACTTATTAAGGACCGTTGACAATGCAATATGAAAAAAAATTGAAAGAAAAAAAATTTAAATTAAACTAAGTAATGAAAAATAAATAATAGTCAGTAAATAATTATTTCTTACACTATTTTTAATTAAAATTTATTAAATTCTATTTTTTAATTGGATTTTCTATAAAAGCGTATTTATTTTGTTAGTTTTTTTAAACTATTAATTATTTTTCATTTTTTAGTTGAATTTAAATTTTTTCAAATTTTTTTGCTTATCCTGTTGATTCTGATCTGAGCGTCAGGCTCGAGCACTAGCTCTTGGGGTGAGCTGCGCAGTCTGTTTGTAGTGGTGACCGCGGTAGCCCCCTTACCTCATCTGGGTTCTGACCTCGGAGGGGACCGGACGATTGGGCGAAGAGTGCAGGGGAGTCCCACATACCCCGTGCACCCCCTAGGCACGGGGACCTCGTAGGAGGGTAGTACAACTATCAGATCGTCCTCAGAGCTGAACACGTGCAAAAATAATGAAAACGTCATGTAGGCGAGCCTTATACGGAAGATTGCGTCACTTTTTTTACATATATAAATATCGTGTCACATTGTCCGCGATGAACTTCTGAACTAATGAATCGATGTTAACGAGGTTCCCTTTGCAGGGCGTGGCAGGGGACGACTCGGGATATAGGATGGTTATTAACTTAATTTACCACAATACTTTTGTTGTATAGTCAAACATTTGTTTTGTGTATGACAAAGTTAATAATGTCAGATCTGAGGAGGATCTAACAGATGGCCTTGTGATTTATGTTGTCGACAAGATGCTAGTGTCCGGGTTGGGTACATATCTGAAGATGGCGTTGGGTCCAAAGTATAAATGTTTCATTTTCGCTTCAATTTGTATATATGTACAGCTGTTTGAACAAAAGGCCCACGTTTGAGACCTAGACGATATTCATTTTAAGAAAAAACTAAAAGATAATCTTATTAGTGAAAATTATTACATATCACATAAATGATTTTTTTAGGGAGGACATTGAAAATAAATGGTTTTTTTAATTACCAGTTGAATTATGGATGAATGAATGGCAAGTTAATGATATCATAATATCTTGCCATGGACTAAAATTGGCATGTCAAATAATGACAAAGCATACACGCTGCTTTTAACTTATGTAATTACTCATTTTCACTATGCTTAGCGAATAAATTATTTCTTTCTTTCTTTGTCCCCCGGTGCCCCCCCCCCCAGCCGCTTGTCCGGGTGGGACAGCTCCGGTCACCCAGGGACGGCGCGGGGACCATCGTACATACAATAAACAGCAGTCGCAGCAGTGTGACCGGGTTTACCAGGAGTCGTCTGCTAGGAGCTTTTACTAGTGGTAGAACCTCTTGTAAGTCCGCGCGGGTAGCTACCAACGCCCTGCCTATTTCTGCCGTGAAGCAGTAATGCGTTTCGGTTTGAAGGGAGGGGCAGCCGTTGTAACTATACTTGAGACCTTAGAACTTATATCTCAAGGTGGGTGGCGCATTTACGTTGTAGATGTCTATGGGCTCCAGTAACCACTTAACACCAGGTGGGCGTGAGACCGTCTACCCATCCAAGCAATAAAAAAAAAGGAGCGCTGTTTCTAATGTCGCTCATCTAGACTCTGTTCAGGGACATCACCAGACCCGTGGAGTCGCACGTACCTGAGCATGAGTCGCCCCGCCCACTCCGCCAGGCAGTCGGACCCCGAGATCCTGACGCAGGAGTACAGGTCGCCGATGTCCTCGCTGCACTTCCACTCGATGGCTTCAGCCATCTGAGGTGGTGGAAAAGCATATATTACATGAGTAGAAACAACGAGCCCCCTATATTGAAATTATTGTTAAGTACAGCTTAAAAATAGCCATATCTAAATATTTGTTTATCTGCTGACCAGACCAATGTAGCTATCGTTCCGAGTGAAGTACGTCAGAGCGGTACTGACATGTCAATGTCAGTGGACTCACACACGACAGCACGAATTGCCTCCGTGGCCAGCGCGCGGCCTCTCTCTGCCACACCACACTGTCACGGATCCTCTCCCCCCGATGGAGTAGCAGCATCCTATCGAACCACGTATCCGAGTCTGAAAACGAAATATGACTAGGGTTATAGTAATAACACCAGTTAAGTGGGGGGGGGGGCAGAAGTGGACTTTGTGTTTGATGTTAAGTGGTTACTGGAGCCCATGGACATCTACAACGAAAATGCGCCACCCACATTGAGATAAGCTCTAAGGTATCAGTATAGTTACAACGGCTGCCCCACCCTTCAAACCGAAACGCATTACTGCTTCACGGCAGAAATAGGCAGGGCGGTGTTATCTTCCCGCGCGGACTCATAAGACTCATTAGACCACGAAGATTTATTGTGAATTTTTTTTATAGCCACTTTATCAAGGCTTAATCCGGTGAGCACCGCTTGGGATGGAGCTGCGGATTGTTGTTGTGGTCAAGTGACCTATGCCGTAGTTGCTGCGGTCAGTACACCACTAGGGTCAGCAGGGACGTGTCTTCAGGATCCTCCCGATCCACTAAGGCTGTTTTTAGGTACCACAAGCACCGGCCATCGTTCTCGTCGAACCCGTCGCTTGCGACGAAGGGCTCGACGAGTAAATTAACCCTCAGACACAGCCTACTGAATGTCTCGCCGGATCATCTCAGTGGGTGGCGTTTCCGATCCGGTGGTAGATTTTGCGAAGCACGGCTCTTGCTAGGGCCAGTATTAACAACGTCGTCAGGTTAGAGCCCCGTGAGCTCACCTACTCATTCTGCGTATCTAGCATAAGCCCTTGATGTTACTAGAATTGGTAGGATAAAAGGAGATGTGTCCAGGTCGCTGATGGAGGTCGTCATGTCCCCATATACCCCTATGAACGGGTTCGAGAGTCAGACCACCCGTATACCACAGTGGTTCCATGGTGGTCCTGTTGCAACAGTCTACCCATCGCCGGAGACCTCCCTACGTCCAGTAACGACGGAGCTGGTGGTAGGACCTTTTGTGAGTTCGCACTGGTAGGTACCACCACCCTTATTTCTGCCGTGAAGCAGTAATGTGTTTCGGTCTGAAGGGTGGGGCAGCCGTTGTAGCTATACTGAGATCTTAGAACTTGTATCTCAAGGTGGGTGGCACATTTACGTTGTGGATGTCTATGGGCTCCAGTAACCACTTAACACCAGGTGGGCTGTGAGCTCGTCCACCCAACTAAGCAATAAAAAAAAGCTTCATACCGATCTCGTATTCTTGCAGACGGCGCTGAAGATGCTCGAAGTCGGTCCACAGAGGGGGACAGCACGAGGCCTCCCTCTCCCTGTCCTGCTCCCTCATGGACTCCCAGTTGGCCAGGCGTCCGAAAGTCGCCTTCAGACCTTTTGGTTTAAAGCGCATTTGTTTTCATTTGCAAAAGTACAACGCCATTATGTAATATTTTCAATAAAAAAAATCATATCATATTACGTATTATAACTAAAGATATATTTTATATGTTTTTATAGTAAACGAATTAATAAGTAAATTCATAGTTTTTTATTTTAGTAATAACTAGCGAACCGGAAGCAATTAAGTGCGATAACCACTATGCCAAGGTACATACAGGACGAGCTGGTAGAAGCGAGAACCGAAGGCTAGTATTGGTAATCTCTGGTCATTCAATTATTCACTTCACTAATTGTTAGCGGATCAACGTCGCGTCATACATTGACGGCTGTGATTGGCCAGCGGTGACGTCATATCGCACGAACCAATAAGAAATCAGGGAACGCAACAGCGGCGCCAATCGTAAAAAAAAACCCTTTTTTAAAATAAAATCATTTTTCTTACACTATTTTTAATTCAAATTTATTTTCCATTTTTTAGTGGGATTTTCTATAAAAGCGTTTTGTTAGTTTTTTTTAAACTATTATTTATTTTTCATTTTTTAGTTGAATTTAAATTTTTTCAATTTTTTTTAACTTTTTTTTTAAATATTGTATTGCCATCGATCCTTAATAAGTATACCAAATTTCGAGTTAATCTGACCTTTTGAAAGGGGTCAAAATCGTGTTCAAAGATTCCGTTACAAACATACATACGTCTGAAGCTAATAAAAGTGTATTAAAAAGACCTATATTTTATTATTTATTATTTACCTACACTTTATTATTAACCTCTATTTGTAAAAAAATTAAAAACAATATAATTAATATTGGAAGAAATAAACGCATTTATTCATCTTCCTGGCCACCTACAAGAAATACCTATACGAAATAGACGCAACACTAATATCTTTAACGCGGCGCGCAATGGAACGCGAAGACAATCACTCGGGGTCAACGACCTCGTGTACCGCGCGGGAACGTATTCTTTAAAGCTTGTGACCTTAAGAGTCTATGCCTTGCGCCCTCTAAGGTTGGGCACGACGCTGGCTGGTACACAGTTGACATTGTCATTGTTAATAGCCAACTTACCATCGATCGAGAATTCTTTTTGCTGCACCACGACCACATCCTGTTCTTTCCACGACCTGTGATTCAGAGAATCTTAGATCACTACAAGATATAAATTCATAAGTTTTGCTTTGATTATGACATATGCAAAGATTTATCAGTGAAAACAAAGAAAATGAACAATGCCGTGTGAATCCAGCCAAAGGTGGAAATTTCAATTGCATTATTGCAAGAGCTGTTCGTTCAAATGCATTACTGCTTTACGGCAGAAATAGGCAGGGTGGTGATACCTTTGACCGGCTATCCGTTAATGGATTCCCCAGCGTTAAAAAAAAAGAGTGGTGGTACCTCCCCGCGCGGACTCACAAGAGGTCCTACCACCAGCAAGACTGCTACACGACGGTACTCACCCTAAAACAAAGCGATCTTCCCGACCAGCCCTCAGGACTAGTTCTTCCTGTAGCAGGACGGTCAGGCCGGAACCTTCGCTGCCTTTTGTCCTATCCACCAGTCCCTCAACGGACTGACTCACTCTGTAACGAAATTCCACGAGCAAAATCAATATTAAGCTTCTAAGCAATTCAGCACATGGTCACTAAAAGCCACCTATTTCCCCCTCCCCCCCTGTGTTACGGGTACCAGAGGCAGTCATACATAACTTATATACGAGTGGTCTTCTTTTTTTTTTGTTGCTTAGATGGGTGGACAAGCTCACGCACATCTGGTGATAAGTGGCTACCCATAGACATCTAAAACGTAAATGCCGCTACCCACCTTGAAGTATGAGTTGTAAGGTCTCAGTTGTAACAGTACAACGGCTGCCCCGCCCTTTAAGCCAACACGCATTACTGCTTCACGGCAGAAATAGGCAGGTGGTACCTACCCGCGCGGACTCATTGGTTATTATGGAGCTATGAGGTTTAAGTTTTCATGAATTTTAATTTGAGTAGGCAAAAAAATAATAATACGCGCATTAATAATGTTTACAAAGCCATCTGTTATCTATGAGTGTTATCTATGGATAGACCTGTTTTGCATCAAAATCTATTATATTTTAAATAAATACCAATATACATATAAGCTTGAATATAAAAATTTGTGGGCTAGGCCACTTTTGCACCTGATACCTCAAAGTTCATTCACGTTTTGAAGCCTACGGCCTTATAGTATACTAATGAAATAGTTCACAGGGTGATGTACCCTCTGTGCGGACTCACAGACCCCCACCCCCCCAACCCCCTTGCGATATATTAACAAAACAACCACCCCTCGATTCTCCGTAGAGTGTCCACGAACACCCGGGACAGTTTCAGGACGAGCTCCATCATCTCCCCCCCCACCGCTCCGAGCAGCGCCGCTAGATGTCCAGACATCGCGTCGTCGAAGTCGAACCCCGGACTCCGGTTACGGCTGAGCTCTGTACAGAGTTGCACCAAAAGTGCTATTGAAGATTTTGTGTTCGTCTGAAACAATATGCGTACTGGTGGTAAGAACTCTTGTGAGTCCGCGCGGGTAGGTACCACCGCCCTGCCTATTTCTGCCGTCAAGCAGTAATGCGTTTCGGTTTGAAGGGCGGGGCAGCCGTTGTAACTATACTTGAGACCTTAGAACTTAATCTCAAAGAGGGTGGCGCATTTACGTCGTAGATGTCTATGGGCTTCGGTTACCACTAAACATCAGGTGGGTCGTAAGTTCGTTCACCAACCTAGTAAAAATATATAATAATATGCATTTTTCAATTAAACAATATCTAAGAGCGGAGAGCACTTAGCATTGCGAAAACTTGCTTAAAACTGTTTGAATTTTAAATAATAAATAGTTGGCGTGCCTTGGACGCGCAATGTAGTACAAACGTTTCACGAGGTCATTGACCCCACAATCTAATTTTTAATAGTCTTCAAAGAAATGAGTGGTTCTATATGTTCAACCATGTTCCATGTGCTCGAATTTGAATAAAAATAATTTAACTAACACAGCAGTCAATGTATACGGAACTCAATTTTCAATGACAACAAAAAAATAATGATGACCATTGCGTGTTACACACGCGTTTCTAATTAAACAAATTTAATCAATAGCTTTACCTTTGAGAACCGCAACACCTCGTCCAAGACTTCGGCAATTGTGATCTGCACGTCCAGACCGGGTGCGGACGCGGCTGCGGAATGAACCTAGGTTTGAGACGCGACGCCTCAATGGAGTCTGAACAGTTTTGCCCCTGTTCAATCGGGTATGTACCACTGGTCTATCTTGCGGCGGGTAGCCGTCAGAGAACACAAGGACCTTTTGGCGGGAACGCGAGGAGTGAAGTTGTGTGATTTGTTTTATTTTGTCTATGTCGTGTTTCTTCAGGTTTAAATGTGTAATAATGGTGGTTTATTAACTGTTTTAATATCTGTTAAAGTGCACAAATGTGGGAAAATGAAACAAAGCCGCTGGACGTAACTTCTCGGGATCTTCAAAAAGTCTACTGAAAAAATCTCAGTAAATGACCACCATTTTACTGAGATTATATTTCATCCCATATCAACTCATTTCATAATATCATTTTTCAAATATAAAAAAATAGTTTTCATTAAAATTTAAATAAGACTTGACTTAAAGGTCTTAGTTACCAGGTCATAAAATCCTTTAAAAAAAAACATAAGATATTTGGCAGATGCCTGAATCTCGCTTACGACATTTTCATAATAAGCCTGCATTAGATACAAGTTCCCATCTTCCCTTTGTTGTATATCTACAATCTATATCTGTTGCGAAGTCAAACTTGGGCACGATTCGAAGAGTAGACCACAGCTTTACAATCAATTTGAGACGTCATGTAGCCCATGGACTCTTGTTTAAGAATATTGTATGTATTATTAGTATGTATTATTGAGGTCGTGCGGGTAGTATACTGTAACTACACTGAGACCTTAGAACTCATATCTCGAGGTGGGTAGCGCATTTACGTTGTAGATGTCTATGGGTTCCAGTAACCACTGAACACCAGGTGGGCCGTGAGCTCGTCCACCCATTTAAGCAATAAAAAAGTTAAAATAAAAAACATTGAAATCAAATCGTTTTTTACTGTTAACCTCTGTAACATATTATGTGTCTCGGTTAGTACGTCAGCATGGACCACAAAGTTTGGGGGGGGGGGGGTCGCTGGNCCGGAAGGTGCCGGGGTGGGCGGGGGCGGCCGTCAGCGGGGAGGGGGCCGCGCTGGGGCCACTGCGACAGTATTGAACCGATTTTGAAGGTTTTTTTTTCGAATATTAATTCACTAATGAAGACATATATTGATGTTATTGATCTCTGGGGCAGACCGGTTCTAGAGTGGAGACCGCGCAGCGGAAGACGAAACGTGGGACGCAGAGGGGACCATGCGGGTGGGCACCACCTTCCAGCCTAATTTTACCACGAAGCAGTCGCGCGTTTGGGTTTGAAGAAGCAGCCGTTATATGGCACATCTGTGACTCGACCTCACGGTTCTCATGGGGGGACGCGCCGGGTGTGGGCTCTCGTGACCGTTAGGACCAATCGGCTGCGGCTAGGACCACTCCACATGCGGATAAAATAACAAGTCCAGTTCTCACCCGAGGTCCAAGGGTTCGTCCCGCAGCCTCGACCTCGCCAGCCCGTCTTGACCCTTGGCCGCGGCGAACAGCATCCTCGTCATGTTCCACACGGCGCTGGTCACGTCGGGCGGCGTCTTGCTGTGCAGTATCGGCAGACATATCGCGAGATAGAAGCACTCGGTGAATCTGTCGTGGAAATATAGAATGAGTATATCTATATAATAGTCTTTATTGGTGGTAGGACCTCTTGTGAGTCCGCGCGGGTAGGTACCACCACCCCGCCTATTTCTGTCGTGAAGCAGTAATGCGTTTCGGTTTGAAGGGCAAGGTAACCGTTGTAACTATACTGAGAACTTAGAACTTTATATCTAAAGGTGAGTGCCGCATTTACGTTGTAAATGTCTATGGGCTGGTCCAGGTGGGCTGTGAGCTCGTCCACCCATCTAAGCAATAAAAAAAAAAAGATCGGCCGTGATCTCTATGGCAGTGAGGGAACTGACCTCGCATGAAAGCTTGTTGTGGACAGTCCTTGGATATCCCCGGTCAGGCCTTGCCCCAGCCCCCGCAGCAGACTCCCGGTGTACCCGTCTGCTCCCTGCGCAACCCTGAGGACGGGCGTGAGGGAACTTCTCTGACGTTTGGGGGCAGACTGTTCGTGATCCTCGCACAGTTCTGTTGAAAGATTCCTTTTTAATACGCTTTCATTAGCTTCAGACGTATAACGGAATCATTGAACATGACAACACACATTGAACAAAATTAAAAAAAAAAATTGAAAAAATTTAAATTCAACTAAAAAATGAAAAATAAATAATAGTTTAAAAAAAAACTAACAAAATACGCTTTCATAGAAAATCCAACTAAAAAATAAAAATAGATTTTTTTTTAATAAATTTGAATTAAAAATAGTGTAAGAAAAAATGTTTTTATTGTAATAAAGCGTGGGGTGCTTTTCAGGATATTATCAAAATAACCCTTCTACTTATATCTGTTCATAAAATATTCATAACTACCGATACCGTGCACCCCACGCTTTTTTTTACAATAAAATCATTCTTTCTTACACTATTTTTATTTCAAATTTATTAAAAGTTATTATCTATTTTTTAGTTGGATTTTCTATAAAAGCGTATATTGTTAGTTTTTTTAAACTTTTTTTTTTTAAATTTATTCTACGGTCGCAAAGGTCAACCAGGTATACAATCTTCATCACGGATGACCGATAACATTACATTTTTATTAGTGACAGGACACCAGTACTAATCTTCCGCACCCAAAACACTTCCAGAAACCACGGTGTTCAATTTTCTTCGACGGAACTTATCACACATAGACATTATACATTTCGGCCTCATACGTCAAGGATATTAGCTGGTCCTTGAGGTCCTCGGTCGGTACATAGGTGGTGGAAACAATCCAGACTGATCGAAATGATTGAATTGAAATGATTCTTGTCCACCTGATGGTTGTCCGGAAGAGATTGCTCTTAGCGACAAGACCGCCAATTGTACTTTTTTGTATTTCATGTATCGCACTGTTTATTTGTTTTTTGGTGTACAATAAAGAATACTCTCCCTCTCTTTCTCTCTCTCTCAGACTTACTCTCAAAAGCCTTTTTGGCCACGTCCCCGGCGGCGTTACGGACGTCCGCCGCTGGGTGGTCGCATAGCTTTACCGCCAGCATCACGGCTGGTCTCAGGACCTCCGTATTCCCATACCGCTGCAGTCCAGATCTGATGACCCCGAGAGCCTCCTGCTTCCAACACATTGCAGGAGACCAGAATGCAATTATAAATAATAAAAATAAAATAAATAAATAAATAATAAGTTCTAAGGTCTCAGTATATTGTAGTTATGTATGGGAACGTATGTTAAGTATGGGAACTTGTAGATGTCGTACCTGCATCTTGAGGTCAACATGAGGTCGAAATTTCAATTGTATTGTATAAGTAATACATTGCTGCCTCAGTCTTCAAACCAGAACGTGTGTCTACTGGTAGTGGTACATAATAGGGGGATGACCATTTAGCCCCCCTCCCTAATGGCTACACCAGGGTACGTTGTGACGTCGCTTTACAGAGATTTTTCTCCCACTAGATGGATAACGAACTGTCGGTTCTCCCATGGACATCTCAACAGTATGAATGCCGCCCCCCACCATGAGACATGAGGTCCATATCTCAATTATATAGTATAACAACTGTTTTATCTTTCACACGCAGACAGCTTCGCGGCAGATATAGTCAGATTGGTGGTACCTACCCGTGCAGGCTCACCAATAACTTCCTCTTGAAAGTCCTTCGTGACCACCAGTTAAATATCTCCTTAGAACATGTAACTGCTGAATTTGAAGCATGACGTAATCGAATAGTTTGATACCAGCACACCGGACGTGTTACCCATCAGGCCACTGTTTTATTGCTTAGATGGGTGGACGAGTTCACGGCCCACCTGGTGTTAAGTGGTTACTGGAGCCCATAGACATTTACTACGTAAATACCACCGCCCACCTTGAGACGTGAGTTCTAAGGTCTCAGTTTTTAACAGTAAACGGCTGTCCCACTCTTCAAACCATATTACTGATTTACGGCAGAAATAGGCAGGGCGGTGGTACCTACCCGCGCGGACTCACAAGACGTCCTACCATCAGTTGATGGCCACCAATATAATGTTTAGTACGCGCACCTTGACACAATCACCCGCCATCAACCCTTCGAAGTTCAGGGTGGATACGACGTCACGTATGACGTCATCATTTCCCGGGCCGTGCTCTAAGTACTTCGCTATAACGCGCAGACATCTCAGCTTTTCGGCTTTGGGCAATCTCGAAGCTTTCGAGAGAACCGTTCTGAAAGTTGACATTTTTGTACGCCCTGTAGATAAGCTGCGGGACACCAGGGACGATCTGTCTCTAAGTAGTTATAAAGGGTGTTCTTTATTATAGACTAAAAAAACATTTTAGCGTGCTTTCATCAGATTGTCCTGGTGCTTTTAGGTACCACAAGCACCGGTCACCGTCCGATCGAACCCGTCGCTTGCGACGAAGGGCTCAACGAGCGAATTAACCCATAGGCACAGCCCACTGAGTTTTTTGCCGGATCTTCTCAGTGAGTCGCGTTTCCGATCCGGTGGTAGATTCTGCGAAGCACTGCTCTTGCTAGGGTCAGTGTTAGCACCACTCCGGTTCGAGCCCCGTGAGCTCACCTACACGTTAGGGCGAAGCTGATATAGCCTCTCAAGGCTATCTGCATAGGTATGGAAAAAAAAGCTTGTCCTACATATTATATTGGCACAGGTCCTCAGGAGTTCAGAAGTAGGCAGCAGCCTGGTTACTTTCCTGGCACCGCTGATGTCCATGAGCGACCTTACTGTCTACTTATAACGGTAATAAAAAAGGAGCGATGACATTACAATATTTTTATTATTTTTGCTTATATTAGGCCAGGCCTTTCCTAATCCAATATCCCTATAATTCTCTTAAAGTAAAGCTGAACACAATGCGTGACGTCATACGTAGCTGATCGTTGTGCACTATAATCTGAGGTTAGAGGTTATTCTGGCCACAAATGACATCACACGTAATGAGAATGCGTTCAGCCAAGTTTAGTCAATCTGTAAGTGCTGTAGCGGTGGTGCTGGTTTGATGAAGAGACCAGGAGGCTGTTAACTCTTGTACAGTTATCACCATCGCAGAGTTTGGTCACATTGCATTTGTTTTAAAGAGGACTATTCACAGGGTGTGCTATATTACTAAAAAAAAACTAGTCTTTTTTTTATTGCTTAGATGGGTCGTCCACCTGGTGTTAAGTGGTTATTGGAGCCCATAGACATCCACAACGTAAATGCGCCACCCACCTTGAGGTATAAGTTCTAAGGTCTCAGTATAGTTACAACGTCTGCCCCACCCTTCAAACCGAAACGCATTACTGCTTCACGGCAGAAATAGGCAGGGCGGTGGTACCTACCCGCGCGGACTCACAAGAGGTCCTACCACCAGTAATTACGCAAATTATAATTTTGCGGGTTTCATTTTTATTACACGATGTTATTCCTTCACCGTGGAAGTCAGTCGTGAACATTTGTTGAGTACGTATTTCATTAGACAAATTGGTACCCGCCTGAGATTCGAACATCGGTGCATCGCTCAACACAAATGCATCGGACGTCTTATCCGTTAGACCACGACGACTTCAAAGAATACGGTTTAAAAACCTGCAAAGTTTCCCGGAACGCACCAACAGATGGCGCTGTATTCAATAATTTCGTCACTCACTTGAAGCTCTTGAAACTGCAACACCTGGGGCAGCCCAGCTGGGCGTAGTACAGCAGCCTCACGTAATCCGACACGTTCGTCTTCAGGTACGTCTCTAGGACACGTTGGTACGAGGCCAAGGATTCCCTCGCTACTGTCTCGTCGTCACACACGGCCAACGTTTGGCCGAACAGTTCAGCCAATTTTTGCACGGGATGTTGGCGGCGCGCGTCAGCCAATACCGCCAACACGGTCGGCACAAGTTGCCCCACGTAAATATTATGCTTAGTGATGATTTGAAGTATGCGGAGCATGCACAGCTTCGTCTCATCCGACATTGAGTCTGCGACAAATGCCGGAAGTTTTTTTGTTGGCTTAGCAGGTAGACGAGCGTACGGCTGACCTGATGGTGAGTGGTTACAGACGCCCATGGACCTCAGCAATGCCAGGGGCAGAGCCAAGCCGCTGCCTACCGCTACGGACATGTCATAGTGGTGTTGTGGCCTGGTATTAGTACCAGCTGAATGGGTGAGGCACGTGAAGGTGCGTCAAGCCAGGGTTCTGGTGCGGCACGGCGTCTCAAGCTGCGGTCACAAGTCCAGTATATTATCCCACGAGGGCCACTGTGGGTGCGACCGCACGTGGCGTACCCTCACGCGCCCCCCCCACCCCCGTGGTCGGGACCGACACCAGCCCCGGATGTAGCACACGCAACAAACATATTTCTTCTTATGTATTTTATCATTAGGCATAGCTTCCATAACTGTTTACTGGTAGAAGGACCTCTTGTGAGTCCGCACGGGTAGGTACTACGACCCTGCCTATTTCTGCCGTGAAGCAGTAATGCGTTTCGGTTTGAAGGGTGGGACAGCCGTTGTAACTATACTTGAGACCTTAGAACTTATAATTATGTCAAGGTGGGTGGCGTATTTACGTCATAGATGTTTATGGGCTCCAGTTACCACTTAACATCAGGTGGGCCGTGAATTCATCCACCAACCTAATAATAAATAAACATAGTACATATGCATTGATCAATTAAGCGATATCTAAGATCGGAGAGTACTTAGCATTACGAAAACCTGCTTAAAACTGTTTGTACTTCAAATAATAATAAAGTTGGCGTGTCTTGAACCGGCAATGTAGTACAAATGTTTTACAAGGTCACTGACCCTACAATCTAATTTTTAATAGACTTCAAAGAAATGAGTGGTTCTATATGTTCAATACTATTCAAGGTGGGTCAAGGTAGGTGTCGTATTTACGTCATAGATGTCTATGGGCTCCAGTAACTACTTAACACCAGGTGGGCCGTGAGCTTGTCCACCCATCTACCCGTCACTCTTTTTTTTTATTGCCCTTGTAGGCAGACGAGCATACGGCCCACCTGATGATGAGTGGTTACCGTCGCCCATAGACTTCAGCAATGCCAGGGGCAGAGCCAAGCCGCTGCCTACCGTTAAGTACTGTCCACAAGCCTCGTTTGAAGAAGGATATGTCATAGCGCTCGGGAAACATTGTTGAGGGGAGCTCATTCCAAGGCCGGATGGTGCTCACCAGCTGAGTAGTCCGGGAAGGCGTCGTAGCGGACGGTAATCGTTCCGGGGTGCGCACGCAGGAAGCCGTCCAGGCAGTCGGCCACCGCGTCCAGCAGGGGTCTCCTGCGCTGGTGCTGCAGGCAGGTCCGCACAAGGAGCCGGACCGCGGCGTCGGCCCCCTCGCGGCGCGCCCCGCCCCCGCCCCACCCCGAGATGGTGTTCAGCTGGACATGGACGGGTCTATCAGCTCGCTTGTGACGTCATCAACTCGTAGTCAATTCAACATGCATTACTGAGGGTAACCCAAAAAGTGCTGGTCAAGTCCTGACGTGGCACACGCCAAGGAGCATCAGCTTCCACATTATCTTCAATATGAGGCAACACATATAAAGAAATACGGTCGAATTGAGAAACCCCTTCTTTTTTTTTATTGCTTAGATAGGTGGACGGGCTCACAGCCCACCTGGTGTTAAGTGGTTACTGGAGCTCATAGACATCTACGACGTAAATGCGCCACCCACCTTGAGATATAAGTTCTAAGGTCTCAAGTATAGTTACAACGGCTGCCCTGCCCTTCAAACCACATTACTGCTTCACGGCAGAAATAGGCGGGGTGGTGGTACCTACCCGCGCGGACTCATAAGAGGTCCTACCACCAGTAAAGGAGAGCGGAGCTCTTCTTTTCTGAGCAGTTGAGGGTTACCAGGTCGAGGTCCTCACCACGTCCACTTGAAGACCGTTGAGCGCGGCCCCATCCTCCACCGCCGTCACGTACTTCAGCAGAGCGGGAATTAATATCTCGCAGTTGGGTTGCAGGTCACTGGCTGAGTTGCAGATGGCCTGTAACAGTGGGGGGTTGGGGGGGAGGTCAACGGGGGCTCGGCTCGGGGAGCGACTCATTTGTTTATTAGATAGGACGGAGGAGACGAAAGCTTTCTTCCACAAAAGTGTAGTTTTAAAATTGTACTTTTTTATCCAGGATACCAGATCCGGGTGATGATAGGATCGTCCTCGGAGTTCGCCTAGTGTATAATTACTGTGACGTCATCACGTCGGAGTGCAACACATTAATAAAAGATGCAATTTTAAAGCGACCCGTGATTCGGCGTGCACTGCATTGTAGTAATTCTAGCGGCCCGCGCTTGTGTGTGCACTGCATCGTAACATATTTTGTCCCTAACTGTATAAAAACGCGTGCTACCGCTGTATCCAGTCATTCAGAAGCCGCGCTAAGCAGTTGAAGTATAGGCAGAATCCACACTCTTTCATGGTTAACTATATACGAATGGTAACAATTCAAGTTAATTATAAGTGCCCGATTTGTGATATCGGGTTCCAATAATAGTCCCGTGAATCGCGACTTTATTTATTAGTTGGAATACGCTCCGTGGAACGTCTCGTAACGTCCCGGAATCAGACTCTGCACCTAACACTTCTCAACGGATGCCAAGGAGCTGGAGTATCCTCGATGGACCCCAGAATCCTATACTTCTGAATCACCATATTTTAAAGCAACGGTCGGGGAACTTTTTTAATTATTACCCCAAAAAATATTTTGTGTAAGTTGATATTACCCCATGGTGAAGAACAAAAAAAAAAGAAATCGCTTCTTTCTAGCATCTTTCATATTATAGCACCCAATGAAATACCTGGGTCAATCACGTGAACTTTGTGTTTCCAAACAACGTGTTCTATCTCATTCTCTCGCCGGCTGAGTCCTATACATTTATACATTTTGAAGTCCATGGGCGACGGTAACCACTCACCATCAGGTGGGCCGTGTGCCCGTCTGCCTACAAGGGCAATAAAAAAAAAAAAAAAATACATTTATGTGTTTGTGTCTCTATGGACTTATTTTTTCGTTTCGTTTCATCGAGTTTGAAATCACAACGATTCTAAAGAAGTTTCACTTCAATAATATATACTATAAACTCACAAAAGTTTCATTTTTACCCCCCAAAATTTCATTTTACCCAATTTGGGGAAATTTACCCCGGTTCTCCTACCGCTGTTTTAAAGATACGTATCACCATTTAACTGTAATATTTCACCACAACCATCACACTTTTACCTTCAAAAGTGAAGTTCTTCATTGTATGTATGTGTGTGCTTTAGTTTATGTTGTACCTAGTCAGGTCATAAATTCTGTCACATGTTTAATGTAAAATAATTGAAACAAGTTTATTCATTATGTAACCATTCATATACCAAAATGAACTTAACAAAACATAGATTCTTATGACCTTAAAGTTTATTCAAAATGACCTCTGTGATTTTGAATATAGGCCTTCAATCTGCGCGGCCAGTCGTCTATGGCAGCACGAACGAGGTCCATGTCAATATCGGCGGCTGCCTTAATCAAGGATGTCTTGAGTGACTAAATTGGGATGAGGCTTTGAGCACGCCTTTTCCTCCAAGTGTTGCCATATCTTGTAATCTAACGGATTCAAATCTGGACTGGAGGAGGGCCAGTCTTCGTGCCGGATGAAGTCGATTTCACGCGCCGCCAGCCAGTCTTGTGTGCTCTTCGCTCTATGAGCTGGCGCCGAATCTTGTTGGAATACCCAGTGCCTGTTATTGAACATGGTATGAGAAACAGGTTCCACAAGGTTCGTCAGGACTGTATTTTGATACACAACTGCATTCGTTTTTACACCTTTCTCACAAAAATGTACCTCTGTTAAGCCCCAATAAGAAACTCCCAACCATACCATGAGCGAGGATGGAAAATGACCTCGTTGGACACGCGGAATACGGTTGCTCGCTTCTTCACTACTGTGTGCGTACACCTTATCATTTTGTTTGTTGTAGCTCTCTTCTACGGTAAAAAATTTTTCATCCGAAAAAAGAATTTCCCGATATTTTTTTCCCGCGTACCGCTTCAACAAAGCGCGGCATCTCTTCAGTCTCAGGTCCATTAGACGAGCATTCAAACGATGTCCTGTTTTTCTTCGATATGCCCGAAGCCCTAAGTCTTCATTTAACACCCTTTTCACCGTGGTTCTGCTTAACCCCATCTGAAGGGCCAACAGTTTCTGCTTACGTTTGGGATTTCTTTGAATTCGCGCCTTCACAGCTTTTATCACTGCTGGAGTCCTAACAGACCGAGGGCGACCACTTCTTGACCTGTCATCTACACTAGAGTCTTCATTGTATCGTTTGATGGTACGATAAACGAAACTTTTGGTTATATTCAAATCTTTCAGTATGTTATAAATTTGAATTGGCGCGTAACCGCAACGATGCAACGCAATAACTGCAACACGGTCTTCTTTAAGCGTCCACTCCATATTTAAAAATGAGTAAAATTCTAAAAGTATACATTTTTATTTTCATGAACAATTCGAAATTCGAATTCAATAAACTTTTTTGTGGCCAGCATTCTAAAAGAAAAGTTTTTACTGTGTGACAATACTTATGACCAGACTACTTATCTTGGTATGACTGCAGTTCATTTTTATTTTGATGGCGCCCTGAGAATTTTTTAAGAAACTCTCCACTGCGGCTACCGCTTGGTGTAACAGTTACCGTTACAGGAGAACCTCACTTCGTGAGGCCTGTTCCACATACGCATACAGACGAACGGGCTATGAAGATGGGTTAAATAAGAGTTCGTAGCGTCTCTCGGACCTGTGCCAGCAGCGCGGCGACGTGGCTCTGCGCGGCGGCGGCACCGCACAACGCGGCGGCGGCGCGGCGCAGCGCTGCGGCACACGGCGCGGCGAGGGCCAGCGCGCGCGACACAGACAGACACGCCTCGAGCCCGTTCAGCTCGGTGTGGTCCACGCGCCACTCCTCCGTCGTGACTTCCTGCACATTGAGGGCTTGTATCTTCTTTTTTTTTACGAGCATACGGCCTACCTGATGGTGAGTGGTCACCGTCGCCCATGGACACCAGCAATGCCAGGGGCAGAGCCAAGCCGCTGCCTACCGCATAATACTCTCCACAAGCCTCGTTTGAAGGACATGTCATAGCGCTCGTGAAACACTGTGGAGGGGAGCTCATTTCATAGCCGGATGGTACATGGCAAAAAAGACCTCTGGAAACGCACTGTCGATGAATGCAGCGGTTCCAGATGATATGGATGATGGGTGGTGTGATGATAAAAAGGAGATGAGGGGATCATCTCGAACAATTCCTCAGAGCACTCCCCATGGAACATACGATACAAAATACAGAGGGAACCGAAGTCCCTCCGCAGACCCAAAGGTTTCAAGAGGTTATCTGACGCACCTCACAGCAAATGCAAATTTTTCTTAACGATTCATGATAACTCGTATTCGACTAACGAAATTCGACCTTAATGACTTATACCTTAAGATCTAGATTCAGAGAACTACGCTAGGGTGAGGCCACGGTCCCGGTTTTCGGTTCAAAGTGGACTGCGGGGTGTTGGGGGAGGGGGCGGGCAGGGGTCCGTAGTTGCTCTTGTTTAGCACCTTCCTCGGACGTGGGCTTCAGTTTCTGCTTTTTAGCGCCAATTTTATATCACCACAGATTATATTATCTATATATATAAAATGAATTGCTGTTCGTTAGTCTCGCTAAAACTCGAAAACGGTTGGACCGATTTGGCTAATTTTGGTCTTGAATTATTTGTGGAAGTCCAGAGAAAGTATAAAAGGTACATAAATTAATGAAAATGCTCGGAATTAAATAAAAATAACAATTTTGTTTTTTTTTTGACGTGTTCCCCGTCGGACGGATTCTTTTGTTTGTTTTAAGTTTATTTTATACAAAAGCTTAGGTCTTTTATTTATCGATTGGTTCACTACGAAGTCTGCCGGGTTAGCTATTAATACATAATAATGGCTTCAAAAGACTGAATTGAATTGTATTCTTAACTATATAAAAGACGTAATAGAAAAGCGAATTTAAGCTTAAGTCATTAAGGTCCAAATTCAATCGTTGGGCGGACACGGATATCGGTAAATAAGTAAATGTCAATTTCACCTCGCACTCCTGGGGTTCGAGCAGGTCGAAATGCAGCGGGTTGTCGGAGAGGGTCCGCAGGAGGGGCCGGGTGCGGACGGACCCCCCGGAGGACGCGGCGGCGGGGGCGGCCCCCGTGTCCGCGAGGACCTGGCGTCGCACGCTCCGACGGCTCTGCGTGAGAACATCACTGGTGGTAGGACTTCTTGTGAGTCCGCGCGGGTAGATACCACCACCCCGCCTATTTCTACCGTGAAGCAGAAGGGTGGGGCAGCCGTTGTAACTATACTGAGACCTTAGAACTTATATCTCAAGGTGGGTGGCGCATTTACGTTGGAGCTGTCTATGGGCTCCAGTAACCGCTTAACACCAGGCGGGCTGTGAGCTCGTCCATCCAAATGAGCAATAACAAAAGGTATATTTGATAGGATAGACCGCGTGGCTCCGAGTGGACGAGTGCTCTGACAGCGACATCACACCTATTGTTTACTTGGGAAGTGGTCTGATGAGTTGCACAAGAATTATGACGTCACCGTCCACTACCACGTTGTTACCAGCTTCCTAGACGGCTCTTATTAAACGGACTGGGGTGGGGGACCGAGGAAGGTCAGATGACAATTAGATGCTATTGTTTGTGATTATTAAAAACAATTTTTTTTGACCATTGCTTAAATGTTTGGACGAGCTCACAGCCCACTTGGTGTTAAGTGGTTACTAGATACCCATAGACATCCATAACGTAAATGTGCCACCCGCCTTGAAATATAAGCTCTAAGGTCTCAGTATAGGTACAACGGCTGCTTTACCCTTCAAACGGCAGAAATAGGCGGGGCGGTGGTACCTACCCGCGCTGACTCACAAGACGTCCCACCACCAGTAAAAAAAACGAGGAATTTTAATAATAGTAAAATCGATTTCTAAAACTGCTCATTCGGTGATGGTATCGTGACCAGCTCGCGTGGGGCAACCAGTAGACCCCCACGAGTGAGTACCACACACCAGTCCGTTACCATCGCGAACCACTTCTGCGTTGGAAGAAGACATCGACCCTGCAAATAGCGGACAGACACTCACCCATTTCGGTTTTATCGGAAGTTCGTATCTTTTTTCGGGGTCCATCAGATTCGACAGAGCTTTCTCGTCGAAAAGCGTCACGTAAGCTTTGGGCTGCTTCCAGCGGCACAAGGCCGCCGTCAAGCACTTGTAGGCGGCCACGTAGAACGCTCTGGAAATAAATAGCTTCGTGAAGTCGTCGTGGCCTGACGGAAGAAGTCCGATGTATTCGTGTGTAGCAATGCACCGGTGTTCGAATCCCACAGGTGGGTACCGATTTTTCTAATGAAATACGTACTCAACAAATGCTCACGATTGACTTCCACGGTGAAGGAATAACATCGTGTAATAAAAATCAAACACGCAAAAAATTTAATTTGCGTAATTACTGGTGGCAGGACCTCTGGAGAGTCCGCGCGGGTAGGTACCACCGCCCTGTCTATTTCTGCCGTGAAGCAGTAATGCGTTTCGGTTTGAAAGGCGGGGCAACCGTTGTAACTATTCTGAAATCTTAGAACTTATATCTGAAGGTGGTATATGAAGGTATATCATTTACGTTGTAGATGTCTATGGGCTCCAGTAACCACTTAACACCTGTGAGCTCGTCCACCCAACTAAGCAATAATAAAAAAAGAACGGATGAGTGAGGTGATATTGAATCGGTCCGTCCCCCGGTCCCCCACCTGCACGCCCCTCTCAGCCCGCCCCCGGCCCCCTCGGGACACGTCACGGCGTCCCTGAGCGTGACACACAGCTTGCACGCACGTCGCACCAGCATCCAGGACTCTGGGCTTGCCATGCGGCTGTGGAGTACCGAGCTGGACGCCTCCAGTGACTGCCGGGGTAGCTGGAAACGGTACGAGTGATCAGAAGTGGGGTCGTCCGGGCCTGTTGGGTACGACGTGTTCTTTCCAATGTGGTCGTGTGTTCTTAAATATTTTTTTTCACTTTAAAAAAAAAACAGGCTTTATTCTTAGGAGGATTGTTTTATTAGTCGAAGGGATGTTATGTGTTGGATTGTTTTAGAAGAACACTTTTATTTACTATTGATTTCTCCACTATTTAATGGATGTTATTATACATATAAACCTTCCTCTTCAATTACTCTATCTATTAAAAAAACCGCATCAAAATCCGTTGCGTAGTTTTAAAGATTTAAGCATACGTAGGGACAGAGAAAGCGACTTTGTTTTATACTATGTAGTGATAAGAAAGAAATTCAACTATAATTAATTGAAATTATAAGTATGAACATTAATATGGTTCTATTGTCGAAGACTATTATACTTCTATAATCACAGATTTCACCAAGAATACACTTCAATTCACATAAATAAATAATATTAAATACAAACAATCTTAATCTATTTTCAGAGTGGGAAATTTCATACACCTCCGTCCGCGCAATTTTCGTAAAAAGGGCTACACAGTTTTTTCTTCACGTATTAATATATAGATTTCCGTAGTTACTGGGGATAGCACACGTTGTGAGCCTACACTGGTAGGTACTACCACCCTACTTATTTCTACCGCAAAGCAGTAATGCGTTCTGTTTTGAAGGGTGGGGAATTTGTTATAGAATTTAAGACTGAGACCTGTAGTCTCAAAGTAACATTAGCGTTGCGATGTCCATGGGCCACAGCGACCGGGCTGCGAATTCATCTGTCTATGAAATAAAAATGTCGATATTCCATCTCAAATAGACAAGTATCTCGCGACCCCTCCCACTAACCGTCCCCACCGCCCGCCGAAGCTCACCTTCTCAAAAGCCACCGCCAGCACGCTCAAAGCTCTCGTGTAGTTGACGACGCCCTGTTCGTACGCTAATGCGTTGCTCGCTGCCCGACCGGTCATTAACATGTCAATTAACATGTTAACTTTGTTCGACAGGAATTCTTCCAGACGTTTGGCGGGAGTGTGTCTGTTAACAAAACAACCGATCGATCGATTAAATCGGTGTGAGCACATCATGGCCTCTCTGATGGTGAGTGGATATCATCTGCCAGGGTCTAAGCGCTACCTATCACTGTCGAGTAGGAGCAGGTTGTATGTTAGAGAGAGGGAGGAACGGAGACAGGGAGAAAGAGGGAGAGGGCGGAAAAGAGGGAGGGAGAGAGACAAGGAAAAAGAGAGGGAGGGACAGGAGAGAGAGTGACAGGGAGAAAGAGGCCGAGGGCGGGAGGGAGGGAGCCAGGGAGAAAGAGGCCGAGGGCGGGAGGGAGGGAGCCAGGGAGAAAGAGGGAGAGGGCGGGAGAGAGAGAGAGGGAGACATGGAGAAAGACGAGGGGCATATGAGCAGACAAGAGGCATAATGTGACGCGGCGGTCAATAATCTACTTCAATGCTATAAAAAGTCAAATTATCGCTCAAATACGCACAATCAAACTCAAATAGGCAGCAGTTCTTATTTCAAAGACGCCGGTAGCTGTACCCACCGCAGCAGAGGCACGAGCATCCTCTCGCAGACGCCCGTCGACAGCCCCGTCCACGTCCACGCGTATATTGTTTCGTGCACAGTGACGTCACGGTGCCTGGCGACGGCCGCCATGCACGAGTCGATGGCCTCGTCCCACCAGCCCTTAGTGTCGTCGCCTGTCGCGAAACCGAATGTCGTGAGTCAGTTCTGATGACTGCGCCCCCCCATCAAATTTAAAAGTATATCTTTTGAATATAATAATAATAATAATAATAATTTATTTCTTTCTCTCTTCTTTAAGAGACGGACCTTTGTCCGTCTCTTAAACGGCCGTTTGGTGTAGTGGTAAGTGACATGGTCACTACCCAAGGGGGTCGCGGGTTCGAATCCCGCCAAGGGAAGATATTTGTATGATAAATATAAAAATGTCTTTTCCAGGGTTATGGATGTATATTAAATATATGTATGTGTATAATAAAAATATTACATTTATTTCCGTTATCTGGTACCTGTAACACAAGTTCTTTACGAACTTACAACGGGACCAGTTAACGTGGCGAGATTAAAAAAAAAAAAGGTATAGTACAAATACAAATGGAAATTAACCTTATAATTTATTTTGTTAAGTTATTTTGTTTGAAATTAGCCTTTGAAAGAGCTGAAGTCTGAACTAGGTTCAAAGACCTGTATACTGATCTCCAGGCTCTCTCCCTCCTTCTTAAGATAGATTATATAGATAGAATTTGCAAATTAAATTCTAAAATATCAATTTTAATTATTCCGTATTGTAATTGTGCATTGCAATTGTAACTTTTTATAATTAAATATATGTATTTAATTGTTTTTATTGTTGTTATTGTAGTTATTAATTTAAGCTCTGACAGTGCTTGGTCGGTCTGATGCTGGTGAGCACGTCCCTCCGCAGATGCCAGCCGAAGATCAGCGCCGCAGTACCGATTGTCTCGGTACTGTTAGGCATTGCTAAGCCGGTAACCGTTTTCAAGCCTTGTTATTTTTCTTTTAATATTTGTTGTAAATTTATGTTTGGAATAAAGTTTATTATTATTATTTTATCTCGGGCCGGGCTCGTGGAGTGACAGGCGCGTGTACCCGCAGCTAGAGCGGCAACGGTCCGCAGCAGGGTGGGGTCGCCGCAGTGCGCCGCCCCCAGCAGCGCCCGCAGCGCCGGCCCCCGCCCCCGCGCCGCCTCCCGCAGCCGGGGACCCACCACGCCAGAGAAACTGCTATAGGCGGCGCTGCGCACACATATCGCACATTTACTGGTGGTAGGACCTCTTGTGAGTCCGCACGGGTAGGTACCACCGCTTATTTAAGCAGTAATGCGTTTCGGTTTGGAGGGTTGGGCAGCCGTTCTAACTATACTGAGATCTTAAACTTATGTCTCAAGGTGGGTGGCGCATTTACGCTGTAGATGTCTATGGGCTCCAGTAACCACTTAACACCAGGTGGGCTGTGAGCTCGTCCACCCATACAAGCAATAAAAAAATTAAAAAACACAAATTGTAATGAGGCACATTGAGAAATGGATGAGTCGTGAGCGACCTTCAAGTGTGAACAAGCGTTCAATATTAGAAACTAGCTTTTGCCCGCGATTTCGTCCGCGTGGATATAATTCACAAATAATGCTTTATTTTAGAACAAATTTGGTCAGCATAAAAAACGTTATAGTGAGCCAACCTTAACATATTATAGACATATGCTGTCGCGGACTTTTTTTAGACTTTTATCTGTCATACATTATTTTAGCGAAACTTTAACCGTTTCCGCAGCGCACGCAGCGGAAGCTCTCAAGAAAGAAAATAACCCCATTTTGCAACATTCTATATTGGTGCTCCGTTTGTATTGGTCTTAGCGTAATGTTATATAGCCTATAGCCTTCCTCGATAAATGGGCTATCTAACACTGAAACAATTTTTCAAATCGGCCCTGTAGTTCCTGCGATTGCCGCGTTCAAACAAACAAACTCTTCAGCTTTATAATATTAGTTTAGATAAGCACAGTGGCTAGCCTCTTTAGAAACATCTTCTTTTTCTTCACCTTATCCCACTAGGTGAGGTCGGCAGAGCTAATTTTTCTCTTCCATTCTCCTCTATCAGCCGTCATCTCAACACTCACTCCTCTCTCTTTCATTTCGTCACTCACACACTCCATCCATGTCTTCTTCGGTCGACCTCTTCCCCCTCTACCTTGCACTACCGTCTCCATACATCTCCTAGTCACATGCGTCTCCTTTCTACGCGTCACATGTCCATACCACGCTAACCGTCCACTAACCGTAAAGAATGGAAATGGACAACCTAAAAAAAACCCTCACCTATATTCCTCGCCGGCGGGCAAGGCTCCGACGAGACATATCCTCTGAGTGATCTCCCCCTCCATCAGGGTTTTGACTCCCCACGCGACGGGGGGCGAGGTGGGAGGCGGGGGGACGGGGAAGCGAGACAGACTGACAAGCAGCGCTTGCTTCTTGCTAAATTCAGTCTGCTGTTCGTATACAGGCCACAGCTGACAAACAAAAACAAAACTTACTGGTGTACTATACTGGTGGTAGGACCTCTTGTGAGTCCGCGCGGGTAGGTACCACCGCCCTGCCTATTTCTGCTGTGAAGCAGTAATGCGCTTCGGTGTCAAGGGTGGGGCAGCCGTTGTAACATTACTGAGACCTTAGAACTCATATTTCAAGGTGGATGTCGCATTTACATTGTAGATGTCTATAGGCTCGAGTAACCACTTAACACCAGGTGGGCTGTGAACTCGTGCATGCACCCATTAAAGCAAAAAAAAACAAGTTATATCTACATATATGTAAATTAAACCATAATCCAAACGAAACAAAAACCGTACGAATTGAAATAATTTCCAAATAAACTGGTGGGAATTTACCGAGGTTACGGTGGAAATATTCGGAAAAGCCCGAGAAGCGACCTCAAGCGCTTGAACAGTATGATTGAGACTTCGATCTCACGCATCATGATGAGCACCGGTGAGCACTTAGCATCAAAAGGTCGCAAGCCATCGCCTATCTATTACAACAACACAGAAGCTCCTAGCTGAAACGGAAATGNATTTCCAAATAAACTGGTGGGAATTTACCGAGGTTACGGTGGAAATATTCGGAAAAGCCCGAGAAGCGACCTCAAGCGCTTGAACAGTATGATTGAGACTTCGATCTCACGCATCATGATGAGCACCGGTGAGCACTTAGCATCAAAAGGTCGCAAGCCATCGCCTATCTATTACAACAACACAGAAGCTCCTAGCTGAAACGGAAATGTCTGCTTTCTCACTCACCCCATCGACCAGACTGAGCAAGTCCCCACGCCATCTCTCAGGACATCTCATCCTGACGTAACAATCCACTACGTCATCCAACAGGGAATAGGCACTTGTGACGTCACCGTCTAATAACACAGACGGCGACTTCACCAGGAATCCGAAAAACACCTTAACATGTCTCCTACAGAGGTCCCTCCCATCACCTCCCGATATCAATCTCTTTATATCATCACGACTTGAAGCTTTAAGAGACGCAGACAGAACACTGCTAATGTATTCCAAATCGGATTTCTTTGGCGTCACCTTCATAATCGAATCTGGCCATGTTTTTATTAAATCACTCCTCAATTCGAAAACCATCAACATTATATTTAGTGATTTTATTATGGCCTTATGTTCGTCCAGCAGTTTGTTTTCTTCTAAACTGGTAGTTATCTCATTTATTGGCAACACCGAGAACCAAACGTCAAAGGCATCTGTCAATAACGGCGGTAATTCCCCTAATAGATCTTTGTAAGTCTGCAGGCAATTCACTATCGACCTATTGACCGTTATTATAAGGTCCGGTTTTAACTTCTCCACCAATCCGGCCAATAGTACTAGTGATTTCTGAAAGTGTAAAGATATATTATGGGTATATGTTAGTTCTTTGTTTGTTCACTGCTTCGATGGACAGTAATAAAAGATGACGGACTGTATGTTATATTATATTAGTTTATTGCACTGAGATATTAACAATGACAATGCGGGCGCTGGACCTCTCGTTACGCATTATAATTTGCGTAGTTACTGGTAATGGGACCTCTTGTGATTCCGCACGGGTAGGTACCACCACCCTGCCTATTTCTGCCGTGAAGCAGTAATGCGTTTCGGTTTGAAGGGTGGGTCAGCCATTGTAACTATACTGAGACCTTAGAACTTATATCTCGTCACTGACATACAAAGAAAAATATCCAACTCAGTTGAGGATTTTCCAGGTTCGTTATAGGGTCGACACCTTCGAGTAATTGGATTATAATATGATATATTGTTTTTGTAAATTAACACTGCAACAAAATTGATTTGGTTGTTGGACATATAAAAATTATATATCATACTATAACCCTATGGTAAGAATGGTCATGCAGTATGATTTGGTTAAATGTCACGGTGATCTTGATATCTTTGAACCTAGACTCAGGGTTTTTCTTTATTGCCCTTCTAGGCAGACGAGCATACGGCCCACCTGATGGTGAGTGGTTACCGTCGCCCATGGACTTCAGCAATGCCAGGGGCAGAGCCAAGCCGCTGCCTACCCGTATTTGTCAGATGTGTAAAGGATATCTTATTCAATATAATGTTTGTGTTGATTGTATTGTTGTCTACTTATGTGGATATTTTTATTTGTAATTTGTAATTTTGTTTTCAATAGCCAAAGCTATGTACATTATTACGGGTTTGCCGAGTGCACATACCATTTACTTTGCGATCCAGATTAGATTTAGGTACTATTAGTACGATTTAGCTAATATAGACTGTAATCATTGTAATCTGTTTTGTGCATCAATAAATTAAAAATTAAAAATTGTGTCAGATATTTACTGGCTTCTTACTTCGTCTGACCTAGACTTTTAGTGTTATACTATACCAAAATATACATAAAAGAATAAAAGTGGTAATAACGTATTTCATATCACTCACCTCCCTCCTAGTCTCCATGTAAGTTCCAGCGAAGTCCGTCAGGACACGGAGGGTGGCCGCGACCGAGAACGGGTCCCCCAGATCCTCCATCTCCAGATCCAGGAGACCATTCCCCTCCAGCAGCCTCAAATCGAACTCGGATTCAAAACGAAAAGCAGCTTTCAATTCGCACAGCAACACCATCTTCCTGGCAATACTGGCCGCTTCGATCCCAAGAAAAATGGCGGAGTCTAATTTTTTTTCACTGGCAACGACTTTGATGAAGTCGACCGCTGTCCTGACAGTTGTCTCGTGGCGCGCGAAGTCTACGTCAGACTTGGGGTGGGTGAGGTGGCGCATCATCTCCTGGATCATGCCAACGGTAGTGGCGGGATCGTACATAGCCGCCGCCCGTACAAAAGCGTGCGTGGCCGCTAGCAGCGCTGGGCCTCCCCCCACAGCCCCGCACAGGCCCGGCAGCAGGGCGGGTAGCGCGGCCCGCAATGGGGCATGCGTGGGGTCCGCGGCCCGCAACACCGCCAGCGACACGTCCAGCCCGGCCTGTCGCGTCAGCGCTGAAAAGAAATTGTAGGTACTCTTTTTTATTGCTTAGATAGGTGGACGACCTTACAGCCCACCTGGTGTTAAGTGGTCACTGGAGACCCATAGACATCTACAAAGTAAATGCGCCACCCACCTTTGAAATACAAGGTCTCAGTACAACGGCTGCTCCACCCTTGAAATGGAAACGCATTACTGCTCCACGGCAGAAATAGGCGGGGCGGTGGTACCAAGAAGTCCTACAACCAGTAATTACGCAAATTATAATTTTGCGGGTTTGATTTTTATTACACGATGTTATTCCTTCATCGTGGAAGTCAATCGTGAACATTTGTTAAGTACGTGTTTCATTAGAAAAATTGGTACCCGCCTGCGGGATTGGAACACCGGTGCATCGCTAGATACGAATGCACCGGACTTCTTATCCTTTAGGCCGCGACGACTTTAAAATTTTTATTCAATTTATTTATCCCCCCCCCCCACGCGCTATGAAATAGCTTACCGTTCTTATCCCGCAGCATCAGTAAGGCCTGAGCGGCTACGGGCTCCACGGCCTGCTGGTGGCGAGGGTCCGACAAGAGTCTCTCCAGGACGTCAGACAGCAGACCTCTGACCCCCGGAGACCTCTGGCAGGCGATGTACTGCGAAACACCATCATGTAAGACACTCGTAGAAGAGGGAGGTTTTCAGGGTCCTAGTGTGAAATACTAGTCCTAGAAGAAGAAGTGTGACGCTTTATTATTAGAAAGTACTTGTTAAAAAAAACGCGGATATAACTTACGGACAGCAGCTCTACGGTAACGTTGGACAGTTTCAGAGCTTGCAACACTGGCAGCGCGTCCGCGGCGGCGCTGGCAACACTGGCGCGACACCACGCCGCGCACACGCGACACGCGCGCTCCGCCTGCCGCGCCGGGTCTGCAACGTGCCACACGCGCGGTTGAGCTCGCGGACATCTGACCCCTTGTGAGTCCGCGCGGGTGAGTACCGCCACCCTGCCTATTTCTGCCGTGAAGCAGTAATGCGTTTCGGTTTGAAGGGCGGGGCAGCCGTTGTAACTATACTTGAGACATTAGAACTTGTATCTCAAGGTGGGTGGCGCATTTAAGTTGTGAATGTCTATGGGCTCCAGTAACCACTTAACACCAGGTTGGCTGTGAGCTCGTCCACTAATCTAAGCAATAAAAAAAAAACGTTTACGTCTTAATGTCAACGGTGACGGACGTGACATTTAAATACTCACTACCGGCGCAGATGACGGTAAGTAGCGTTCGCAGTATATCCGGATCGCCGCTTCTGATCGCGTGCTCCAACATCTCATCCAGCTTGATCTGAAATAGAATCTAACTGAAGCGCCATCTAGTGGGCAGCGGGCGAATTGAGTTGGAGCATCAGCGCCTTCCGAGATAGAAGATATGCAGATGCAATACTAAATCAATCAGCTAAACAGTTTGTAGAGCTGCTGGTGGTTGGAGAAGTTTGTCGAGAAGCAGTAACGCGTTCGGTTTGAAGAAGGAGAGAGCACTAATAATTTACATGTGGTGTGGTATGTATTATTGCTTAGATGGGTGGACGAGCTCACAGCCCACCTATTGTTATAGTGGTTAATGGAGCCCATAGACATCTACAATGTAAATGCGCCACCCACCTTCAGATATAAGTTCTAAGGTCTCAGTATAGTCACAACGGCTGCCCCGCCCTTCAAACCGAAACGCGTCATCTTACGTATCATTATTAATGTACGTAAAGTTGGGCTCGAAGGAACAACTTTACCTTATACGTGACACCTTCGTCCAAATACTTGAGATCGAGCGTGAGGTTGTCCTTCAAGACGACAGAACTGGCCTCAGACGCGCTCGATTCAGACACATTACCGAATTTACCTGAAAAAGGCAATTAGAACTTTAAAGTATATTAATGATGAAAATATGATCACCGACAAAATCTGTAAATGTACTTTTCTATGGTCTTTGATCAAGGCTTGGACGTGTCCTCATATCTGATCCGGACCACGGGGATGTCTTGTCGGATCCTCCGAATCACCTCCGGTGTTTTAGGTTCTTCAAGCACCGGTCATCATCCTCGTCGAATTTGGCAGCGAGCGAACTAGCCCACAGACACAGCCCACTGAGTTTCTCGCCGGATCTTCTCAGTGGGTCGCGATTTCGATCCTGTTGTAGATTCAGCGAAGCACTGCTCTTGCTAGGGCTAGTGTTGGCAAACTCTCTCAGGTTGAGCCCGTGAGCTCACCTTACATCAGAGCGTGGCTGTAATAGCCCCATACTCTACAAGCCCTACGTGTATTTACCTAGAAAGAAGAATATCTCCCGCTTAAGGTTCCTGGCTTCTTTCCCGGTCAAGTCTTTGCGGTTGTATAGGTCCTCGATGCCCGCTATTACCTGGATCCAAAGATACATACGTCACATCTGGGTCACGAGAAAAGAAGGAGGGGTCTGGAGGGTAAAGCGACATCTGACGTTTAGTTTAGAAAATGCAGATTTTTTTAATTTTCAGTGTAATTTTAATTCAAGCTCGGATAATAAGTTCGGTTGTTTTATTAATACGCTTTTATTAGCTTCAGACGTATGTATGTTTGTAACGGAATCTTTGAACATGATTTTGACCTCCTTCAAAACGTCGGATTAACTCGAAATTTGGTATACTTATTAAGGACCGATGACAATTCAATATAAAAAAAAAAATGAAATTCAACTAAAAATTGAGAAATAAATAATAGTTAAAAAAAACTAACAATATACGCTTTTATAGAAAATCCAACTAAAAAATAGAAAATAAATTTTGATAAATTTGAATTAAAAATAATTAAGTAAAAATGATTTTTTTTTTTAATCTTGGGGTGCTTGGTTTCAGTAGTTATAAATATTTTATGAACAGATATGAGTAAAAAGGTTATTTTGATAATATCCTTTGTTGTTCCATTTTTTAGTTGGTTTTTCTATAAAAGCGTATTTTGTTAGTTTTTCTAGAGTATTATTTATTGTTCTGCCACATGTTGTTACGCGGTCCTTGTCAAGTTATTTTTATGAGAGCTTTTTCCCTGGGATGCCTCCCCGCGCGACCGTTGGATTGAGCCTACTGTTGAGTCGAACGTAGCCTCCCAGTAAATGCAGTGGACTCTAGCATCCATGACGTCACTATCCCACCAGGACTTCTCCATCGAGTCCACAACCAGTGGCCGCGAGCGAGACGGTACTGCCCCCACTCCAACATGTTTATGTAAATATTACATTTTTTTTTAGTATGACAATCCATGTCTTGCTATGCCAATGTTGCTAGTTTAAATAGATTTTCGTTAATTTATACACCGTTTGTTTATGGGATGCAGTTACGTGAAGTTCGACTTTAAGCCGTTAGTCATAAGACACAATATTGAATACTTAGCACCGAGTAATTTTACCACGCTAACACACTTACCTTCGAAGTTTCTTTGCTGTTCAAAAGATCAATGTCTTTCATCAACAGATGCTGACATTTCTTCAAAGCGGTCAAGTAACTATCCACTTCCACGTCGGATCTCGAGAAGATGATCTGAAAATGTATTATAAGCTTCACGAGGGGACGCACAGGCTTCGATTGTAGCGTTAAGCCGGTACGAGAAACGCCATCTGTTGTCGAACAGCAGAAACCGATATAAAAAAATCACTACATAGTACAAACAAAGTCGCTTTTTCTGTCCTTATATCTGTCTGTCCCTATGTATGCTTAAACCTTTAAAACTACGCAACGGATTTTGATGCGGTTTTTTTAATAGATAGAGTAATTGAAGAGGAAGGTTTATATGTATAATAACATCCATTAAATAGTGGAAAAATCAATAATAAATTACAGTTTCCGAAGCGAAGCCAGGGCGGGTCGCTAGTGTAATACTATGTGGAACACTCTATGAGCTTAGTGAGAATTTTTTAACTTCAGCTACTGGTGGAAGCCCCTCTTGTGAGTCCATACGGTTAGGTACCACCGCCCTGCCTATTTCAGCCGTGAAGCAGTAACGCGCTACGGTTTGAAGGGCGGGGCAGCCGTTGTACGTATACTGAGACCTTAGAACTTTGTCTCAAAGTGGGTGGCGCATTTACGTTGGAGATGTCTATAGGCTCCAGTAACCACTTACCAACCAGTGGGTCGAGAGCTCGTTCACCCATATAAGCTATAAAAAAAGCTTCCCTTCGTTTGCCGCTAGGGGCGCTGTTCTAACTCCATACAAATTTGAGTTAGCTTTTACGCGATCGAGAACAGATGGCGTTACACTTCTTCAACGTTCCCGATAGTACTAGTTGCTTTGGTATTCGTTTCTGCTCTTTGACAACAGATGGCGTTATACGTGCCGGCGTAATATCAGAAACCAATAAACATTACATGCACTCATTAATAAAACTCACTAATAATCAATAACAATCTATACAAATATAATCATCAATAATGTCAATAATAATATACTCAATAATAATCGAAGCATCAATTTAAAATTAATTTGCTTATTTTTGTAACGGCTATGTTGTTAGAACGTTATATTACTTTGTACTTTGTGAGCGAGTGTGAGTGTGAGTATGTAAGAGTGTGAGTGTGTATGAGTGTGAGTGTGAGTGAGTGTGATTATGTAAGATTGTGAGTGTTTATGAATGTAAGTGAGTGTGTATGAGTGAGAGTGTGAGTGGAGCGTGTGTGTGTAAGTTGAAAGTTCGTTTTTCCCAAAAGCTCTTTCGGCTTATCTAGTGATGTACCTGTAGGGATGTCAATATGTTTCGCACGTCCCCATGGCCGTCCGGAGATTGTATAAACGCCAAACAGCATTCGCACAGCAGAGCCTCGTCTGCGCAACTGTCCAAGGACAGCATCTGCAAGGTGACGCACGCGTTTCAATTCTGATGAAGTGTTCGTGATCTCGCCACCTCCCTGTGCCCCCCTAAAGTCTGGTAGTCCCTGAGCGCTATGGCTTATCAGTTATCAAAAACAATGCAGTTCCAGCTGTCGTTGAGTTGCTTTTTCTTGTCCTTGGAAACTTCAGAATTCCAAGGGTGCATGAAAAGATGGCTGCCCAACTGCTATTATAAAATAGATGAGTTTTAGTAGTTTTGTTGTGCCAAACCTTGATCTGATGAAGTGACGCACGCTGGACTGTCATCATCAATCATCGTCCCTGATATCAGCCTTCCTCGCAGCATACCAAGCTATCAACACACTCAGTCTCCTAACCTCACTTGCACCAGACATCTCAAGGTACTTCTCACACTTGCTTACCTCATAGAAGTCCAGATCCAGGCCGGCGGCGTGGCGGAGCAGGTGTCTGCCGGCCGCCACGGTGCAGGCCTGGGGCTGGCAGCGCCGCATGGTCTCACGCAGCAGCGGGAGGGCGGCCGCGCACGCGTCCCGGGTGTAGCCCTCGGGGGACTGGAAGCTCAGCACCAAGGAGACCAGCTTAAAGAGGAACTGCAATTGCTCCGGCAGACCCTGAAGAAAGAACATATTGGTTTCCCGTTAACATACAACAGATTCCAACTATCACGCTGCCTGCCATCAGTGAGACGATAATAAAAGCAACAAGACCGAAATGCACCTCATGCATGCGACAGAAATAGACAAAATAGCCTCAATACGCTAATCAACAGCTCCTCGAATAAAACGAAGATTCCAGAGGAGTCCTCTGCTCTGGTCAGGAATGTCCCGGCCATACATGGCGCCACCTTCCCCGGGACACGAGGTCCGTCTCAATTNCGCTGCCTGCCATCAGTGAGACGATAATAAAAGCAACAAGACCGAAATGCACCTCATGCATGCGACAGAAATAGACAAAATAGCCTCAATACGCTAATCAACAGCTCCTCGAATAAAACGAAGATTCCAGAGGAGTCCTCTGCTCTGGTCAGGAATGTCCCGGCCATACATGGCGCCACCTTCCCCGGGACACGAGGTCCGTCTCAATTGTGTCGTATAATGTACACAATGGGTCACCTTGAGAAGGCTAAGGGCCCTGGGGACCGCTTACTCCCAGATGAGCCGTGACCTCGTTCACCAGTCGACGCAGTAAGCGCAAGACTAACCTCGTTATAGTCGTCCAGAAACGTCTCAACCACCCACAGAACATAGTCCATGAAGTCGTTGAAAACGTGTCTGCTGCCTTCCACCGCCCTCGGGTCCTGTCCGTCGGAGTCGAGCAGCTGTCTCCAGAGCGGCAAGTACCGGTCAAAGCTGGCGCCGTCCACACATGATTCCGTTGTCAGCAGATTTATTGAGGCCTGTAAAATGATACTTGCTTAGAGCAAAACGAAACCATCTTGCTCCTGGCCTGGTGGCTGTCTCCACTCCGACAAAGCTCTCTCCATCCTGGACTACACTGGACTAACTATACTGAGACCTTAGAACTTATATCTCAAGCTGGGTGGTGCATTTACGTTGTAGTTGTCTATGGGCTCCAATAACCACTCAATACCAGGTGGGCTGCGAACCCGTTCGCCCATGTAAGCAATAAAAAAAAAATAACGTGGCTAATTCATCCTCACGGTCATCGAGGACCGAATCATCAATCCAGTTTACTCTGTGCCTCCATTTGTACGTTTCCAATGTCCCGCTCCCGCTGACCACTCACCACCAGTTAACCACGACCAGAGCTAGGAGAAGCAGGGTTCCCTCAGGGTGAGAAACAATTTCAGAGCCGATAGAACCAAGCTGGAGTTACAATTTGTTTATCTCTTCCAGTTTTCCTTGTATGCCGACTTGATGGTGGTTAGATAAGTGGTTATCGTCGCCCATGGACGTCAGGCCATGCCAGGGTCAGAGCCAAGCCACTGCCCACCGCTGAGTATTCTCCGCAAGCCTTATTTGGAGAAGGATTGTTACTGGTGGTAGGACTTCTTGTGAGTCCACGCGGGTAGTCATCACCACCCTGCTTATTTCAGCCGTAAAGTTTCGGTTTGAAGGTACTGAGACCTTACAACATATGTCTCAAGATGAGTGGCGCATTTACGTTGTAGATGACTATGGGCTATAGTAAGTACTTTACACCAGGTGTGGGCTGTAAGTTCGTCCACCCATCTAAGCTATAAAAAAAGAAGGACATGTTATATCGGCCAGGAAACAACGTGGAGGCTGTGGTAGAGGGGAGTTAATCTAAAGTCAGATGGTACTGGGAACGCACTATCTACCTTCCTGATCTGGTCCGGAGCACGCGCGAGAGGGTAGACGATAATTTCCTTAATCTTCTTAGCTGGAAGACTGTGGAAGTTCAGGATGGCGGCCTGCAGAAGCCGGTCGCTGTTCGGCAGCGCGGCGTCGATGCAGTACGAGACCTGGGACCAGGGTCTTCAGTTATAAACCGCGCCAATAAAGAAACGAATCTAAAATGGCGGCGGCGATCGTGCGCTCTCACTCTAAGCTATTGCTGCCTTTTTTTAAGGGATTTTGTGACCTGGTAACTAATACATTTAAGTCATCTGTTATTTTAATTTATATTGATATTTTTATGAAAAATGAATGATATTATGGAGTTAAATGAAATGAAATGAGATAATATGGGATGAAATATAATCCTTTGGAGGATACCCAGAAATTACGTCCAGCGGCTTTGTTTCATTTTCCCAAATTTGTGTACTTTCACAGAGATTAAACAGCAGTTAATAAACCACCGTTATTACACATTTAAACCTGAAGAAACACTAAATAGACAAAATAAAACAAATCACACAAATTCACTCCTCGCGTTCCCGCCAAAAAAATCTTAATACATTGAGATGGCGCTCCTTACTTCTACCCTCCATAACGTAAAATAACTTATTAGAATTGTCAAAAACAATATAATAACAATAAAAAATTCCAAATTAAACAGTAAAAGTTCATTACTAAATATACAGCGTGTGGATGCACCGTGCGATGTATACGTCGCAGGCCTGATGGGCGAGACGTCCGGTGTACCAGTCAATAGAGGGGACCATGTTTTCAAATTCCTCATCAACATTCCTTTTTTCTGATAAAATTGTGAATTTTGCGTGATAATCGTGACTGGTGCATCTGAATTGTGAGGCCCCACAGCACTGTTGAGACTGCGACCTCATGTCTCAATGGATGGCGGCGTCTATGAGTCTCGGTAAGCACTCGACTCGACATCAGTGTAATATTGTTAATGTGTAGGTTATCGCCGCTTATAAGAAGAAGTACTAAACAGTTGCCAACATCTCGTGAGCACCGCTAATGATTCCAAATTTAAATAAATAATAGTTTGTGCGTGGGGTGCTTTTTAAGATATTATTGAAATAATAATTCTTCTACTTATATATGTTCATAAAATATTTGTAACTACTGATACCATGCACCCCACGCTTTTTTTACAATAAATTCATTTTTTCTTACACTATTTTTAATTCAAATTTATTAAAATTTATTTTATATTTTTTAATTGGATTTTCTATAAAAGCGTATTTTGTTAGTTTTTTTAAAACTATTATTTATTTTTCATTTTTTAGTTCAAATTAAAAAATTTCAAAATATTTTTTTTCTTAAATATTAAATTGTCATCGGTCAAAAGCGTATTAAAAATAGCTTCGGACCCTGTCATTGTCATTGTCTGATTCGTGATCAGACCGCGTCACTAAGTCAAACCGACCTGCGCGGCGACGTGGTCCCCGGCCCTCAGGCTGCACTCCACCTGCAGCACGTCCTCGTGCTGGACGGGAGCCGCGCCCCCGAGCCGCGTGTAGACGCTCCACACGCGGAGCGCCACGTATCGCGTATCGGGGGCGTGCAGACGCGGCGTAACCTCCGCTTGTAGAACGTTCTGGAACACAGTTCTCTTGCAATGTGCCGGTGTCGCTACTTACCTTGACTTCCTTTTTTTTTCCAACCTAAGCTGATAGCCTTGAGAGACTATATCAGCGCAACCTTAACTAGTAGGTGAGCTCACGAGCCTCAAACCGGAGCGTTGCTAGCACTGACCCTAGCAAGAGCAGTGCTTCGCAGAATCTACCACCGGATCGGAAACGCGACCCACTGAGAAGATCCGGCGAGAAACTCAGTGGGCTGTGTCTATGGGTTTTACTTCCTGCTGAATCTCCTCAGTGATACAGACACAGTTTACTGGTGGTAGAACGTCTTGTGAGTCCGCGCGGGTAGGTTCCACCGCCCTGCCTATTTCTGCAGTGAAGCAGTAATGCGTTTCGGTTCGAAGGGTGGGGCAGCCGTTGTAACTATACTCGAAACCTCAGAACTTATATCTCAAGGTGGGTGGCGCATTTGCGTTGTAAATGTCTATGGGCTCCAGTAACCACTCAACTAAGCAATAAAAATAAAAAAGACATCACGATATAAATTTTCGTTCACGCAGAAAGGGAACTCACTAACCGAATGACTAATTCAGAGTGAATGAAGGGAATGTAATGAAAGAATGTGTATGTTTTTTTAATTGCCTTTGTAGGCAGACGAGCATACGGTCCTGATGCCTGATGGTGAGTGGTTACCGTCGCGCGTGGACGTCAGCAATGCCAGGGGCAGAGTCAAGCTGCTGTCTACAGCTTAATACTCTCCACAAGCCTCGTTTGAAGAAGGACATGTCATAGCGCTCTGGATACACAGTGGAGGGGAGCTCATACCAAAGCCGGATGGTACGTGGCAGAAAAGATCTCTGGAGCACTGTGAATGAACGCAGTGGCTCCAGGGACTATGGATGAACTCTACTCCGGTGGCGGGCGGTGCGATGGTAAAAACGAGATGATGGGATCATCTCTAATAATTCCTCAGAGCACTCGGAGATTAAGGCACCAAACTTATTGCTTCCGTGAAGTAGTCGCGCGTTCCTATTTGAAGAGTGGGGCAGCCGTTGTACCATACAATCGAGACTTGGACCTCATGTCTCAAGGTGGGCGGTGGCATTTACCACTTGACACACCTAGCGCAACATACCCTACCGATCCTTCAAGATATTCCTGTCTTCACTCCCCCCTAACCGTACTGGTGGTAGCGCGTTCCTCAATGTTGCACACGCGGCTGCCACTCTATCTCTCTTCTCCTTCTTCTCTGGTAGCCTAAAAGGTCATCCCAGCTACGCGCAGACGTGTAGGTGAGCTCACGGGCTCACCCTGAGAGAATTTGCTAACACTAGCCCTAGCAGGAGCAGTGCTTCGCTGAATCTACCACCGGATCGGAATCACGACCCACTTAGAAAATCCGGCGCGAAACTCAGCCGTCGTGTCTATGGGACTATTTTACCACTTTCTATCGACAACTGTAATGCTACTAAAATTTTGATCCTAAATAATATAAGAGATTCTTCTGCCCCTTAGCGGACAGCGGGATTTCGAAGCTTCCACCACGTCATACACTGACCTCGCATTCCCGATCCTGCGGACAGAATGGAAAGCAGTCGACGTCGCCCCAAACACGTCATTACGGATCCTCCCGATCCACTAACGGTGCTTTTAGGCACCACAAGCACCGATCACCGTCCTCGTCGAACCCGTCGTTTGCGACGAAAAGCTCGAAGAGTAAATTAACCCTCAGACACAACCCACTGAGTTTCTCGCCGGATCTTCTCAGTGGGTCGCGTTTCCGATCCGGTGGTAGATTCAGCGAAGCACGGCTCTTGCTAGGGTTCGTGTTAGCAACGTCGTCAGGTTTGAGCCCCGTGAGCTCACCTACTAGTTAAGGTTACGCTGATATAGCCTTTCAAGGCTCTCAGCTAGGTAGGAAAAAAAACTTACCTCGATTCTCTTTAAGTCATCCTTCATCAGTTCGAAGATCAGTCTGTAGACTTTCAATACTGCGTCAGTCCCGGCCGGCACATGGACCCATAGCTTCATCCTTAAGGTTGGGTCTTCGGCGAGTGACTCCAGGAAGAGGTCCGTGTGCTCTTCCAATATGGCCAGGACCACTGTTCAACAATTTCATGATACGTCTTCAGATCTCACTAGACGATGAACGGTTGTTTTTTATATTTAAATACGAATTACATATTGATAAAATGATGAAATATTTCAAGATCGTTTAGGCATTTTTAAGTGAACTCCTCCTCCTCGAGTTGTGTTCCTCATGTCTGAGATATAAGTTCTGAGCTCTCAAGTATAGTTACAACGGCTGCCCTACCCTTCAAACCGAAACGCATTACTGCTTCACGGCAGGAATAGGCGGGGTGGTGGTACCTACCCGCGCGGACTCACAAGAGGTCCTACCACCAGTAAAGGCTTCAGTAGTACTATGAAATGCCTATCTTCAAACGTGGACTGCAGAGTCCTCAGAATCAGAAGGTAGCTCCTGCTCCAGACAGCTCCATGAAACCGTTTACTTTTTCATGACTTTCCCACCGCCAGTGGGAAATGTGTCCCATTACCACAAATCCTAAAGAAATCCACACACAGCCACTAACCTTCCTTGCACTTGGTCATGTCCAGATATCCGACCAGATCCTGGTAAAACTGGGCCAGTTCAACCATCGGTAGCTGGGTCCCGTAGTATTTGAATAGACCCAGGATACCTTGAAGGTATGCTGAGGTTACCGTGTCCTGGAATACGCAATTATACTCTATTGTACTACTAATATCTTTTACTGGTGGTAGGACCCCTTGAGAGTCCGCACGGGTAGGTACCACCACCCCGCCTATTTCTGCCGTGAAACAGTAATGCGTTTCGGTTTGAAGGGTGGGGCAGCCGTTGTAACTATACTTGAGACCTTAGAACTTATATCTCGAGGTGGGTGGCGCATTTACGTCGTACATGTTTAAGGGCTCCAGTAACCACTTAACACCAGGTGGGTTGTGAGCTCGTCCACCCATCTAAGCAATAAATAAATAAAACATTGAAAAAAATATAGGGTAGTTCGCACAATATTCAAATATTGACGTATTGAATGAGGTATTTGAAATGCGGGAAAGAATATAAGAAGAATATAATATATTGTGTATTGTGTGTGTGTATTTTTTTCCTACCAATTCGCTGGTAGCCTATGTGGCGGGTAGCCATCATACAACACAAGATATTTGACAGATCCCTGAATCTCGCTTACGACATTTTCAAGATAAGCTTGCATATATACAAGTTCCGAACAACAACATTCGGACCGTCGGTCTACCGAGAAAATATCACCCGCTCGGTGGAAGATTTTCCCTTTCGTCGTTCAGCCTCCCAAAGCCTAAGTATAATTCCGTGTAGCTGGAAGGGTAGGTGAGCTCACGGGCTCGACCTGAGAGAATTTGCTAACCCTAGCAAGAGCAGTGCTTCGCAGACTCTACCACCAGATCGGAAACGCGACTCACTGAGAAGATCCGGCGAGAAACTCAGTGGGTGGGTGTGTGTGTGCTTGAGTCTATGTACTGTTACTTACAGTCTTTTTATTGTTCTCAAGTAAATTAAGAAACAAGCGCCATATTTTGTTGTATTCATTCGAAAGGTATGCTGGATGGTATTCGCACAGCGTACCTGCAATTAATGATATACCTATAGTTTCATGCTAAAAAAAATTGTATATATAATTTTTGTTTTAATTCTTTGATCAGGGATTCCAATAATATTTTGGGCAAAAGGCTGTTTCACCAAAAAGGTTTTATCTAGTTCTTTGGAGTAATAACTTATTTTAGGGTAAACCGCTTCGTTACGTAACGCGTTAGGGCGCCAATCTATCTAGCGTCCCTTTCGGCAGCGGTGCTGAGAACGCATGTAACTCCCAACTATTTATATATCTTTTTCAATTTATGTTACAATTTTTCTTACATTATAAGCTTTTCTCAAGATAAACAATTTCACTGAAATGCGAATGTCATTATTTGACATGCGAATATCTGCGATATTATGATATTTTAAATCTTGCACTGCACTAAAAGTCGCATGTCAAATAATGACAAAGCATATACGCTCCTTTTAACTTATGTAATAACTCATTTTCACTATGCTTAGCGAATAAATGATTTCTTTCTTTTTTTCTTTCAATATTAAATAGTTCAATTTAGATTAGTTTAAGTTATCACTTAAGTCTGTCGTCCCGAGATGCAGTTTTTTTCAATATAAAATAAGTAGCAATGTAAAAGGGTTTACAGTTAATAAATATCTCATCAAAAAATTTAATAAAATTAATTGTACAAATAATTTAGTAAGTTTCAGGTGTGATTAATAATTATTAATACAAATTAAGTTAAAGTACTTTAATAGGCAAATATATATCAAGTAATTTGAAAAAAAAAATATTTTATTTATTTATTACACTTCATGTAAAATTTACATTGGCGGACTTAAGGCCCAAGGCATTCTCTACCAGTCAACGAAAGGTAGTGCAGAGTAAATAGTGGTAGGTGCAATGAAATTTATATTAAATTACAAATAAATACACAAATATATATACACAAACACATATACAGTCAAACCTGGGTAAGTGAGAACTGGATGAGTGAGGAAACTCTATAAGTGAGAGTAATAGCCAGGACCCGTCATTTTAAGCTCCCGAAACCTCTATTAGCGAAAAACAGAAACCTCTGTAAGAGAGAGTCGTTTTTCCCTCATGGACCTCCGTAAGTGAGACTGCTACTTATCTATACCTCTATAAGCGACAGTCGAGCTTTATTTATTTATATTATTTAGGAGGAACAAATGACAAAACAAATTACAAATTTAACATCTGCTATTTTATGACTCATTCTTAACTTTCGTGGAACTTCCTACCATTGTTTTTGCATTGTTTTCTCGTCAATATTGACCCTATTCTATTTCGTGGAACTAAATAACGTTGTAATTTTATCGTATTCTTTTCGGATGGACACGTGTGCCTATGTACCGTCCTGTTTGTCGGACTTACTCAGTTTATCGTTAATAAATTGCGAAGGAAAGTTCTGTTCTGCATCATGTCAAAACGGAAAATTGAAGCACTGTCATTAAGTTATCAACTTAAAATAGTGAATGCGTTTGAATCCGGAAAATCGCGAAATGAAATTCAGAGGGTCCATTAGCGAGAAACTCGGGTTAGTGAGAAACCTCTATAAGCGAGAGTGAGATTGTGCTCCCTTGAACTCTCGCTTATCCAGGTTTGACTGTACATACATACATACATACACACATACATACATAATTATAATAGTCTATAGTACATATTAAAAAGAATATATTAATAAATTCCCATAACAAATAACTTCATCTTAATAAGTTCATGACGATTCCGCTAATGAAGTATACTTAAAAAAAATTTTTTTTACTGATGCGGGATTCGAATCCACTTCGCTCAGTGCAACTAGTGCACCGCCGAGTCAATCATGAATGTATGAACCTGGTGTACTTGAATGTTCATATTTCATAGCCATGAAATTTGTAAGTGGTAATAAATAAGTGGTGGTAAATTGGTAAGTGCTTACCAATCAGCATAGCTAAAGGAGCTCTGCATATGCTTGCAGATTCCAGTTCAGCTATGAACTTCTCAGCCTGCCCGGCCACCACCGGAGACATCTTGCATAGCACCCGCATACAGTTTATTGCATTGGTACGGATCATGGCATCGTACTGCATCAGACAGACCTGTTAAGATAAATATAAAATCAACGCGTTGAATTGGAGAAAATTATCCAATTTTTTTTATCTATACTAATATAATATATAAAAATGAATTGCTGTTCGTTAGTCTCGCTAAAACTCGAGAACGGCTGAACCGATTTGGCTAATTTTGGTCTTGAATTATTTGTAGAAGTCTAGAGAAGGTTTAAAAGGTAGATAAATATGCAAATGCTCGGAATTAAATAAAAATAACAATTTTGTTTTTCCTTTGATGTCCCCCCCCCGTCGGTCTTTCATTTATCGATTGAGGCACTACGAAGTCTGCCGGGTCAGCTAGTACTAATATATAAATCTACAGTGGTTTTGACGGATGTTATGTTATAACTACTGGACCATGCATCCGATTGACTTGAAACTTGGTATCCATGTAGAAAATACATGTACTTAATGGATAGGCTAATATTTATATGAGTGTTGGACTCCCTACACCGGTTGCGGGAGCGTTAATGATGAGAATCTTTGTGGAGGTGAGAAATATTAATGTTAATTTTAAATGCCCAGCGAAGCGGACGGGTACAGTTAGTTGCTTATATGAGTGGACGAGCTCACAGCCCACCTGGTGTTATATGGTTACTGGAGCTCATAGAAATCTAGAACGTAAATGCGCCACCCACTTTGAGATATGAGTTCTAAGGTCTCAGTATAGTTACAACGGCTGCCCCGCCCTTCAAACCGAAACGCATTACTGCTTCACGGCAGAAACAGGCAGGGCGGTGGTACCTACTCGCGCGGACTCACAAGACTTCCTACCACCATTTACAGTTATTATACAGACAGACATGCATACAGAATAATCCGGTGTACCCTAGGCAGTAGTACTCTGACTGTTGCACTGAGGGTCATAAGTTGGATTCCCCCATCAGGCAATAATACGTGGCACGAACAGGTTTGTTTGTTAATTTAAAAAAAAGTATATCAATTGTGGAATGCTCTGCCGGATGCAGTGAGAAGTACTCCAACTTTAAACTGCTTTAAAAGAATGGTGAAGGAACACTACTTATCTGTTTAGTGCTGTTTGTTTGCATCATTATCATTTATCATTTCCATACTGTTGATTTATTATATGTATGTAAGTATATTAGTATGTATTGTATGTAAGTATATATATTGGTATATAAATCAGTTAGTTATATATTTCATATTAGATGTAAGCGGTATATATATTTATTGTATTTATATATTTTCTATAATAATGTATTGTATATAGTACACCGCAACATAACTGCTATATTTTTATATTTTCAAGAATTTCTGTAAATTAAACGGTTGTTTGGAAGAGATCTCTTTTAGTGATTAGACCGCCTATCGTACAAATGTATCTGCTTTTTGACCGTTTTTTTACTGTAAATTGTGTTTTGGCGTGCAATAAAGTTTATTCTCTCTCTCTATATATATATATAATATCTATGTCAGTCTCTGGTATCCATAACACCAATCAGGGAATCTGTGAGTTATTCCAAGTTATTTATTATTTATTTATTTTACTTATATTTATACATTCAACTGACATTAAGAACATCCTGGAATAGATGGTCTCCAAAGTCTTCACACTTGGGCAGCACCTCTACCAACAGTTTGAAGCTAGCCACAATGCAGCTCCTCCAAGATTCATCCTGCTCTGAGCACACGATCTTCAGCAGACACACTGGCTCATATAGGAGTGTTTGAACTATCCATTCTGATGACAAAATTGAAAAGAAATGAAGACATTATTATTTTGTGATTTTTAGTGATGGTAGATAGACAACTTGGAACGTCTGATGGTCACTGGAAAAGTAGAAGGAAAACGTCCTAGAGGCCGGAGCCCCAAACGTTGGTCCGACCAGATCTCCGAGCAAACCAGCGGACCACTTAGCGCTGCACTACACCAGGCAATTGACCGGAACCGATGGAGGCTGGCAGTCGACAAGCTGAAACGGAGTCACGATCCTCAGCAATGAGGGAGCGATGGAGAAGAAGAAGATGAAGAAGATAGATGATGGAATCATCAGTTTTGAATAATTTTTATTGTAATAGACAAACAGGCAGATGAGCTATAAGCTTATACACCTATGTATGCAACAAAAATAACATTTTAAACTAATCATACTTATGAAGACTTTTACCGTTATAATATCTTAGTATATCGTGCATTTGTTTATTATTCTTGTATGTAACTGAATTTTCATGAGGTTTTCTTCAATTTTAGTCAATTTTGTGTGTTAGAGCATCATATAAGAATCCATCAATCCTTTCCTGCAATAAACGTTTATGAATTGGCTCACTAACTGATATAAATAGTTAAGGACTGGTATGATCTTGAACAACTATAGCCAAAAAATTTTTTAGTAATTCTTTTTACCAATTTCAAAACCGGCCAAATCTTCTTTAAACACCGCCTCAGCTGTCTGCAGAGCCTTCCGGAACCCATTTGCTGATTTTGAGTATTCTTGAACTAATAATTCCCACTGATCCATTATACCTAAGGACAAATACTTCTGTGATGCAAATGGTAGTAAACTTTTATTCTTTATATGAACAAATATTTTACTTGAGGCATGGAGTCCTGTGACCTGCCTGCTGCCTGCACCACCCTGCCCATTTTTGGCTGTAAAGCGGTAATGTGTTTTGGTTAATAATGACTGGGACAGCCGTTGTACTGTAAAAGTTGCGACTTGGAACTCATAGGTGGGTAGTGGCATTTGCATTAATGTTATCTATGAGCTCTGGTACCTAATTAACCAATAATAAGCCAAAAACCGAAGCTATAAAGATGGCCTAGGACAGAAAGAGATGGAAAGACATCGTGCATCAGGTGATCAGCGCTTCAAGATAGACACAACCAGCAATAGAGAGAGCGATTAACAATTCAGCAATAGAGAGAGCGATTAAGGAGTGAACCACTTAACACTAGGTGGACAGTGAGGTGCTCCACTGGCCTAAGCAATAAAAAAATAAGTCACAGCCTGCATTATGTCAAGTGGTTTCCATTGCGGCAACACAATTTTAATTTCACATTTGAAATATCAGACTTATTTCCTTTGTAAATGCAATGACATTGTTGGGATTCTATAAATATGAATGCTTAGCAGCAGAAATTGGTGGTATAGTGGTACCTTGTGCGGGTCCGTCATTCTATTTAATCACTACATAGTATACAACAAAGTCGCTTTTTCTGTCCCTATATCCCTATGTATGCTTAAATCTTTAAAACTATGCAACAGATTTTGATGCGTTTTTTTTTAATAGATAGTGATAGAGTTATTGAAGAGGAAGGTTTATATGTATAATAACATCCATTAAATAGTGGAGAAATGAATAATAAATTACAATTTCCGAAGCGAAGCGAGGACGGGTCGCTAGTTTGATTTTATTTTATGAACATTTTTATGTTTGCTACTATGGACCATATTATGCTTGTCTGTCTACCAGGGCAATAAATATAAATTAAAACAAAATTGTATTTGATAAATAAATGATAATAAAATTGTAATTTTAAACGTTTTGAGTCAGTTTATTTTTACGCCGTCACAGAAGTCAAAATACACAGAAAATATTTTTAAAATTAACTGTATTCTCTTATCACCTTTAGTATTATTATGTAGCTAGATTATTGTGGTTTTAATCAAAAGAGTTCCGGAAATATGTAAGGAGATATTTTTAAAATATACATACTATATTTGTATTCACCATCAGTTCAAGTTGTTTGTATTAAAAACAGGGACTTTGTCACTGCTTGGAACTTTTTCACAGTTTAAATGACAGATAAATCTATTGAGTTTGATAATGGCAATCAACAGCTACTTTAATAAGTTTAATGTCGCCTCAAATCAGAAAATTATCAATATAACAACAAACATGTTTAAACTTGTTTATTATAATTTGACATTGACAGCACAGCTGACAAAAGTTATCCAATGAATTTACGACAAGATATGGCTCTTCCAGTACTTAAAGATTTTTATCTCTACAGTATTCATATTTTGTTTGTGGAGTTAAATTTAATTGCGACGTTGAATGCTACAATTAACTGTAGCATTCATTTTGAGAATCGAGAAAAACAAAATAATACATTTGAGGCTTTATATTAATGACATTCATGCTAGCTAAGCATTCAACCTTTTTTTTATGAAATGCTTCAGCTATCCGGCACAAGATGGCAGTAATTTTTTGTACTTTTTTCATATATACTAAGCAGTCAAACAACTATGCTAAACAGTTTCATTTGACGTGCTTAATCTTTTAATCTCAATTGTATTGAACAAATCGATGAACCGATCAGCTCAATTGCGGAAAACCATCTCAAAAACATCACGATGTTGTGAGGAACGCGATGGACTGGTTTCGATTATTGTGTTTTAAGACCATCCCATGAAGAATTGGATGCGAATGTTGCATACTGATGACACTGGTACGAATAAATACTTCAGAAATGCGCATGGCGATGGTCTACTAACACCTAGCCTAAAATATACAGTACTGCCCGTACTTACAACTATTTTTTAATTTAATGGTTTTCAATTGACGACTTTATATAATTCCTTCAACGCGGTAGTCAATCGCGAACGACATACGACATGAACGCACCGTTTGCTACAGCTTTGTTCTGATACTTTTTATGGCCTTTGAAAAGCAAGCACATGAATCAATAGGTGGTCCATGGTCGCCGATGTTGGAGAACATCAGCAAAGTCATAGGCAAAACGAAGCTTATCGCTTAGAAGTTTATAGACGTCGTTTCATTCAAGAAGACATATTATTGTGGCGTTTGAAACGTGCCAGCGTTCGAAGTTATTACGCGACGATTATTGCATTATCTGTGGGCTTCGATAGCCACTTTTTACTAGTGTTACGCACTGGAGTTCGGGATAAATAAAAAATATACCGGAGTACTATATAAAACTGTGTTCAACACTTAGAACACTTAAAACGCTCAACAAATACTTTAAAACTCTCAATTCGCTTCAGGTGATCCGTTCGCTGTTTCGGTTCGAGTAGTTCCGATTACTAACTGCTGCGTGCCATCACTGCAACGCTTTTATAGCCGATACCACATCCCTAGAATTATCGAGAATATTCCACACATCTTTAGTATTGTGTTTCCGCTATCTGACAATAAACGGCGTTGTACTTCTCGAGCGTTCTAGGTCCTTTGATATTCATTCGACTATTCCGCGATAGATGGCGTTACTCTTACCGGCGTAACAATAGCAACTGCGGTCGCGTTTTCTCGTGTAGAGAACAAAAAAAACTATTAAACACAAATTATATTTTTATCTAAACTAGATAATTCATACTGCGTTTTCGTCATTATTAATACCAGTTTTATCCAAGATTACGATTACTATGGACTCCGATCACCACTTCGGACCATTTTGCACTTGAAATCATTCATCCGCTTAAGCAATAAAACAAACTAAAGGTGTACTACCTATTTTTTCGAATTATCATCAAAATCTGAACTGTGTTCAAAATTTTACGCACGGTGCGTTCATTAGCAGTCCCCTCTCCAAACGCAACATTGATATTGCGGGCTGTTTCTGCAGCGTTAGTTCCGCGTCGGAACTGTTATTCAAAAATCACTCAAATTTTCGAAGTATCCGCCTTTCTTGTCTAAGCTGAATAAAAAAAACTGAAAGTGGATAATCGAATGTTACACGTTTTTAAAAAGAAGAACTTCATAGATACCATTTGAAAAAAGTTTCACTCAAAAATCTCAAACCATGAAGGTTCTATGTTAATTCTAACCTATTATAATAAAACGGCAATTTCATACTTTAACCTCTATTATTTCAATGATTCTAGGTAGGTAAGCACGCATGGACGTATGGACAGGTTTCTGAAATAAGTTTTTTATTTTTTTATTTCTTAAATGGGTGGACGAGCTCACAGCCCACCTGGTGTTAAGTGGTTACTGGAGCCCATAAACATCCACAACGTAAATGCACCGCCCACTTTGAGATATAAGTTCTAAGGTCTCAAGTAAGTTACAACGGCTGCCCCACCCTTCAAACCGAAACGCATTACTGCTTCACGGCAGAAATAGGCAGGGTGGTGGTACCCACCTGCGCGGACTCACAAGAGGTCCTACCACCGGTAATTACGCAAATTATAATTTTTGCGGGTTTGATTTTTTTATTACACGATGTTATTCCTTCACCGTGGAACTCAATCGTGAATATTTGTTGAGTACGTATTTAATTATAAAAATTAGTACCCGCCTGAGATTCGAACCCCGGGTGCATCGCTTAACACGAATGCACCGGACGTCTTATTTCTTAGGCCACGACGACTTCAAGTGATTTTAATTTTATTTCATTAAAGATGTAGTCGAAGTGAATTAAAAATGCATATCAATGTCGCTTCACCTAGAAAAAACTTTGAGGTAGCACACATAAAAACAGTCTAATTGAGAACTCTCTCGTGTTTTAAAGACGGTTAAAAAAAAAACGCTGCGTGCAATAGACAGATTCTCGGCTCTCTAGGAGTGATTGATCGGAAAAAGTGGAAGTGGGCCGGCCACATATGCCGTCGCACTGACAATCGGTGGGGCACAAAAGTACTGGAATGGAGACCTCGTACTGGACGTCGTAACGTGGGTAGACTGCCAACGAGGTGGAACGATGACCTGGTCAAAGTAGTTGGTAGGGATTGGATGAGAAAGGCAAGAGACCGAAGAGAATGGTGTGCATTCGAGGAGACCTACGCTCAGCATTGGGAGGACACTAGTTGAAGACGAAGAGGAAGAAGAAGGAGTCAAAGTCACGTTTGCAGGCCAGACTTTGATGTGATGGGGACAAGGTACATTTCGTGAGGCCTTCTTCTTCTTTCCCAACATGCATTGGGTAACTTGACAGCTACTATTCCATGCATTGTTCGCTATAAATTCCCTTTGTTTTGTCGCAATCATCTCGAAAATGGCCGATGTAAGTAACGTACAGCCAGCAGTAAATTTTTATTAGCATTTTTCGTCAGCAACGTTTGACGTTCGTTATATTTGCTTCCATTTTATTTTTCATCACGTTCACAGCATATTATCATTAATATTAAATGACATAATTTGTGCGAATCACAATTACCGCCACCTGTAAAACAAAAATGGATCTATTTTTTGACATAACTAACGTTTTATCGTCCATTTTGTTTTTATATTTCACAAGATGGCGTGTCATTCGTCACGGCCGTTTTCGCGCCATTCCGGCCGACGTGGAGCCAATAAAATTTGAATAATATTCCTTTGCGTTTGACAGTGATGTAGTGTCAGTCATTTGTGAAAATATTGCGTGAAAAATAGGCACTTTATAAATGTATTTTGGTTGACGTTTTGCAATATTAAACTCTAAGTTAATATTTTGTTTAATGAATTCAGAGCAAGCAAGTCACGTGGAAAGGAAAGGTTTCATTGACAGAGTGATTAAATTTGTATTGAGTACATAATTGATGCATCTTTAGAATTTCAGCCGTGTTTACTGTAATTTGATACAAGTAAGTGATTCTAGTGAAGACATGTTTGAAGTCGTCGTCGCCTAAACCGTGGATTAAACTCTCTCTGTGTCGGTGTTCAAATCGCGCAGAGAGATATCAATTATTGAATTTTTTTCTTTCTTGTCTAATCGTTGGTACCCTAAAGGGTTATTCTAGCTACGCGCAGAAAGGTAGGTGCGCTCACGGGTTTAACCTGAGAGAGTTTGCTGACACTACTGACACACTGACTTTGGTAGGCAGCGGCTTGGCTCCGCCCCTGGCATTGCTGAAGTCCATGGGTGACGGTAACCACTCACCATCAGGTGGGCCGTATGCTCGTATGCCTACAAGGGCAATAAAAAAAATAAAAAACAATAGTAAGAGCTTCTCTGAATCAACCATCGGTGACCCGCTAAGAAGATTGTTTTACTGGTGGTATGACCTCTAGAGAGTCCGCGCGGGTAGGTACCAACCGCCGCCCTGCCTATTTCTGCCGTGAAGCAGTAATGCGTGTCGGTTTGAAGGGTAGGGCAGCCGTTGTAACTATACTTGAGACCTTAGAACTTATATCTCAAGGTGGGTGGCGCATTTACGTCGTAGATATCTATGGGCTCCAGTAACCACTTAACATCAGGTGGGCTGTGAGCTCGTCCAACCATGTAAGCAATAAAAAAAAAAGTACCTGTAATGTAAATCTGTATCATCTATATCATCAAAAAAATGTATCTCTCGCAGGTATTAAAGGCAGGACATTGCTAGCTAGCTTACTATTGCAATGAGTAAACGTAATGACTAACTGTCATCGTCGAAGACATACACTAAATGTGACGTTCACTAAATTACATCATTTAAGTACATAATTATGTTATTAGAAGCTTTCTCGTATCTATATATTAATACGTGAAGCAAAAACTTTGTATCCCTTTTTACGAAAATTGCGTGGACGGAGGAGTATGAAATTTTCCCCACTTATAGAGAATATAGAGAAGAAGTGCACAATGCTAATATTTTGTTCAAATAATGCATAAAAGATACATTAAATAAATAAAGAAAACATTACACACACTACAGACCATGTATTTGACGCACACACGCAAGCATACTACATATTTATTTTCAAACTTTTGTTCTTGACGTCTGTTGTCATATTGAGAATAGATTAAATATTGTTTGTCTTTGTTAATATTTTTTATAGTGTAGTCTTGGCGAAATTTGTGATTATAGAAGTATAAAATACAATCATAATAGTGTACAAACTTACAATTCCAATTAATTATAGTCGAATTTCGACTACTGCGGGACCTCTAGTAATCTTTAATAACACCAACTGACATTAGAGCTCATTCACTCGACAAAGTTATAAAAGAATATATATGAAAATATTCGTGTAATGTTTTATTGTAATAACTAGCGACCTGCCCTCGCTTCGCTTCGGAAACATTAAATTTTATTATTGATAGCTGAGTCCTGCGATGTTACCCGCAGTTATTGTCGTACCGCGGGTGATTCCGCGGGGTGAAGCTAGTCTAAAATAAGGCTAAGTTACTCCTTATATCATCAGCAACCTATTAGTGAAAGTCTCGTCAAAATTGGTTCAGTCGTTCCAGAGATTCGCCGGAACAAACAAACAGACAGACTGACAAAAATTGTAAAAAATGTTATTTTGGTGTATGTACTGTATATATATATTCATATGCATGTTGTAAAAAGCGGTTATTTCAATATTACAAACAGACACTAATTTTATTTATATGTATAGATTAACGATTATATGTACATACAATAATTACATAGATAATAAACGCCCAGACAAAGAGAAAACAAATCTGTTCATCACACGAATGTTTGTGCGATGCGGGAATCGAACCCACGACCCTCAGCCCAACAGTCAGTGGCGCTTATTACTGTACCAGCGAATCAGTCAAATATTATTACGTGTAAACGCTTTTTTTCCCTACCTAAGCTGATTGTTTAGAGACCATATCAGCTTAACCTTAACTAGTAGGTGAGCTCACGTGGCTCAAACCTGACAATGGTGCTAGCACGAACCCTAGCAAGAGCCGTGCTTCGCGGAATCTACCAGCGGATCGGAAACGCGATCCACTGAGAAGATCCGGCGAGAAACTCAGTGGGCTGTGTCTATGGGATAGTTTACTCGTGGAACGAACGATGACCGGTGCTTGGGGTACATGAAAGCACCGTTAATGGATCGGGAGGATCCGTAATAACGTGTTTAGGGCGACGTAGACTGTTTACCATTTGGTCCGCAGGATCGCCTATGTAGTTTCTGGCAGCCACGATGAGAGGATTCTCATGTCGTGCCGCTTTATCGAAGTGGGTGTAAACGCACGCGGTTGGCGATGCAACGTGCTCTATCACTCAACATGAGACCGAGCATTGAGGCCTCTATTGTACCTATAGCAATCTCTAAACTTTCTTTAGAACTATATTGTATGAATTATCTTTAGAACTTATTTCTTTTGAACTATATGTATTATTTTTTTGTATTTCGCGACTTGAAGTTTTTTATTTTTTATATAGCCTAGATAGGTCACGATAGGACGATGGGCCTAGATAGGTTACGATAGAACCAGCTCACGGCTCACCTGGTGTTAAGTTGTTACTGGAGCCCATATACATCTCCAACTTAAATGCCGCCATCCACTTTGAGACATGAGTTATAAGATCGCAGTTCTATCAGTACGACGGCTGTCCCACCCTTCAAACCGCCGGTCATCGTTCTCGTCGAACCCGTCGCTTGCGACGAAGGGCTCAACGAGTAAATTAACCCACAGACACAGCCCACTGAGTTTCTCGCCGGATCTTCTCTTCTTCTCAACCGAAACGCATTACTGCTTCACGGCAGAAATAGGCGGGGTGGTGGTACCTATCCGTGCGGACTCACAAGACTTCCTACCACCAGTGAATACGTAATATATTTCAATAAAACTGATGGGTTGACAATAGAAAAAGCTAGTTTAAGCCCTAGTAGTTGTAATTTCGTTTTTTCATTATTTAAGTTTAATAATTCCAATTTTTTTCAATTGCGCTAAACGTATAGATGAACTTACGGCCTATCTGATGTTAAGTCGTGATTATCGCCGCCCACCTTGACACAGACGGATCTTTCAAGACATCTTCCATTAGACGGGTATTGGAAGTAATCAAATTCTGACGACTACTCAATAAAGCTTTTGAGAAGAAGGTATATATTTCCTGTCTGCCCTACAACAAGCTGTCGTGAAGATCGATATAACTAGTTTATTAGCCGGCTTGCCGTGTCTCTGTGTGCGTATTCCCTTACGTGTAAAATGACGCCCTGTGAAAGCTTCGGCCGGGTGTGTGTGAATACAGGTATTGTCCGGTGTTGTAGGTAATAAAAATTCCACGGATTCCTTGGAATTTCGACATTTGAAAGATAAAATGAAAAATAGTCAAAAATCGGGCCAGCTTTGTCGTTGATTTTATGACCGAATTGGATATGGTATTTTTGTTCTTGTGTCTTGTGCGAAAAATACAGAGGTCATTTAGATGTAGTTCTGGAACTTCGCGGCGTATTGTGCTGTGGCCGCGGCAGATCAATTAGGTAGACTGACCAGATCAGGCCTGTAACGGCACGTAATGGACTGTTCAGATCAGGGTTGCAACGAAACGAGAATAGTAGCTGCAGAGCTTTGGAAGTAGCTTTAAGCTTCCGGCTATATCAATTTTGAATCTTACAAGACTGTTTTTCCTCAATTACAGTGTTTTCATTCAATTCAAGCGCCGATTGCTCATTGACTAATGACAGTGGCAATAGTTAATCACTTAATAATTAGAATTTAATTACAAAACAGTTTTATTCGCCAATCAGGTTTTTTGTCACAGATTTAATTATAGGAACTACCTCAAATTATTATTCAAGTATTTCCTTTGTTATTTTAAGTCTCAGATGTGGTCATAAGCCTTAGATATTAGTTTATACGGAGAAGTCTAATAGTAGCACTTGTAACAGAGAAAATTAAAAACGGAAGGTTTTCATGGTACGAGCGTGTTATCGCATAAGCGAAGAAAGGATGATTATGTAGCCATAAATACCCTGGATGTGAAAGGAGACGGTAATCCGAAGTGGGTATATCTTAAAAAGTCTTGGAGAGGCTGTGTGAACGAGGGTGAGTTAAGGGTGTGATGCAGAGTTGGCGTATGATAAGCCTGAATAAGATATAGGAATAGCATATGCTGCACCGCCTTTTCATAGTGAAGAAGAAGATTGGTTCAAAAGCGTCAGTTTTGATTTGGACTTACAGAAATCAACACATCCGTCCCTTGGAAACACGGTATCGAAGCCCGATTGTATGACTTTTCATCTCTTCGACCACGTCATGACCAGTAATAAATAGCTTTTTTGGATTATGTGGTGATATTATCATCATCATTCTTTCCTATTACTCTCTGCTGGGGTGTAGGACTCGAATCAAATCCTTCCATTCGTAATATCGTGTACGACGTATGGGGTCTAAACACGTTTTTTATTCCGTCAATAAGTCGACGTTTCAGCACCACACTTGATGGGCATTCTTAGGGAAGTCACAGCATATTATTCATATCAGATCTTAGAATTTAAATGTCATCAAAGCATACTTGTTTAATGTCATATTATGTTGACTTTGTTTCCGGTTCTAAAAAAATCAGCAAGCTTTGGAACTGCTGTAACTAGTAATTTTCATTTAAAAGTCAATATGAAATGATCTGGAGGTTACCTCCTCGCGACCACTACTGCAGCAGCAGCTCTTATATATCTTCTTGAGCCTCGTTTGAAGCAGTACGCAGTTCATCTTACACGGAGGAGAAGATGTATGGAAATGGTTCCGGGCTAAACTCTTCAGTATTTCTATGACGGCCAAATAACAACAATAAGACGACAGCCCACTGAGCTCCGGATCTTCTCAGTGAATCACGATTCCGATCCGGTGGTAATTTCTGCGAAGCATTGCTCTTCATAGGGTTAGTATTAGCAAATTCTCTTAGTTTAGCCTATGAGCTCACCTACCCGTCCAGGCGTAGCTGGAATAGCTAGAATAGAACCACATTCTTGGTGAATAGCTGCCTAAATATTATTGTGAATATGCTAACAATTAGCTCCGTCGTTACCGGTTCCAATACCAGATGAGAAAGGATGAAGGTTGTATGGACGTGACCTTCCCAAGCCTAAAAAGTTAATACCAAGCATCAGGCTGCGGTGAAATGTCCCGACTTCTGCGAAGAATGCAGATGGGACTACCACCAGCCCTAAGGACTTAAGCCTTGAAACAAGTGGTCTTGCCAACTCGCAATGACCAGCGTGGCATTTTAAGACTAGATCTTCATGTGAATATTAACAATACCAGTTGCTTCGCAGCTATTATTTCCGGGTTTGACGTCCATTGAAAATAGGGAGACGGTTTGGGGAATTTTAAAATTCTAGTCTCACAACACTTGCCCAAATAGCGCGGGGCAAAACAGAATTCTTCGGTCAGGTCACATCAGTACGCGTTATTCCGTCGCATTGAGAGCACGTCGTTTCGATCGCGATTGTTGATCATTAAAATTGTTCGTACAAAACATTCGCTTCGGTCGTGTGTTATTTGTGTACTGTGCATAATAAATATTCGCTGTGTATCATTTCAAATAGTTTATCCTGAAGGTAAGTTACGTATTGTATTACTGCGACCAGGTCGACAATAATATACTATTCTTCACACCTGTGTGTTTTCACTTAAAAACGTATTTAACATTGTCTATTTTTGTTTATTTAAACCATTTTCTACGTGAACTCTTGATGTATGTTATGTTTTAAGCGTTCAAAAGACAATGGATTCTGTAATTTTGTAAGCATTCATAGTGAAGGGCGCGTGTAGCCCGCATAATCCGGTATATAACTCGCTTTTGTAGTCATATAACTACTGGCGGTTATAACATTACCAAACATACCTTTATTATTAATAGGGAACGCAGTTTGCACGCTATTTCGATTACTTTCCTGGAACACGATAATCTTCTTTTTTTTCACCTTATCCCACTAACTGGGGTCGGCACAGCAAATTTTTCTTTTCTATCATCCGTCAGCTCAACACTCACTCCTCTCTCTCTGATATCGTCATTCACACACTCCACCCATGTCTTCTTCGGTCGACCTCTTCCCCCTTTACTTAACATCAGGTGGGCCGAGAGCTCGTCCACCCGACTGAGCAGTAAAAAAAATCTCCCTGCTTTTATTAGCCAATCTAATGAACGATTAAAAAATCATTATCATTTGTTCGAGGTTTTTAGCCGGTTAGTAGGCATACCTAAGTCGTCGTGGCCTAAGGGATAAGACGTCCGGTGCCTATGTAGCGATGCATCGGTGTTCGAATCCCGCAGGCTGGTACCAATTTTTCTAATGTAATACGTACTTAACAAATTTTCACGATTGACTTCCACGGTGAAGGAATAACATCGTGTGATAAAAATCAAATCCGCAAAATTATAATTTGCGTAATTACTGGTGGTAGGATCTCTTGTGAGTCCGCGCGGGTAGGTACCACCACCCTGCCTATTTCTGCCGTGAAGCAGTAATGCGTTTCGGTTCGAAGGGTGGGGCAGCCGTTGTAAGTATACTTGAGACCCTAGAACTTATATCTCAAGGTGGGTGGCGGCACTTACGTTGTAGATGTCTATGGGCTCCGGCTAACCGCTTAACATCAAGTGGGCTGTGAGCTCGTCCACCCGACTGAGCACTAAAAAAAAACTCCCTGCTTTTATTAGCCAATCGAAAGAACGATAAAAAACCCATTATCATTTGTTCGAAATTTTTAGCAGGTTATTAGGCGTACCTAATATATCTAATTATAGTTTGATCATCGCTCATTGACACGTGAGAAAAATGTCCTGAAATCTTCGACAATTACGCTCGAAGTTTTAGTTGCATAGATACTGGACGAGCTAATAAAATTGTTTTAAAAAGCACAAAGTGCAGTCTTATCGGCCTAAAAAGATCTCTTCCAGACCGATAGAGCGAAAATAAGAACTGAGCGAGAGAGAGCTTAGTTGACTTGGCTTGAAGTTATTATATTATTATACTAGTGGTGGCCCAGTAGCCGAAACTCGACTATATAATTTGTTATTTTAAAATTTAAATTTGAACATAGCCACCGGTAATCGAACCGCGAATTGATTTGTAAGTTTTCCTACCATTCCATCTCAAATATTAACCCTTCCCTCAAAAAAAATGTATTGTTAAACGTGGGAATATCAATATTACGTTCGTTAATCAAACACGGATAACATATTTATTGATAACGCGTATATATTTTATCGTTTTTACAAATTTCTGGCCGTGAAATTAATAATAACTAGAGGTCCCGCAGTAGTTGAAATTCGACTATAATTAATTGGAATTGTAAGTTTGTACACTATTATGATTGTATTTTATACTTCTATAATCACAAATTTCGCCAAGACTACACTATAAAAAAATATTAATAAAGACAAACAATATTTAATCTATTCTCAATTTGACCACAGACGTCAAGAACAAAAGTTTGACAATAAATAGTATGCATGCGTGTGTGCGTCAAATACATCTGTACCTCAGAGGTAAACAATAGTAACTCCACTTTTTTTGAAATTACGTTTTTTATACCATTAAAATCGCAAGAACCAGTTCTACATAATGGTATAAAGCATTAAATCCTACGTTGCCTATGAAAAAAGATATACAATGGTATATAACATTAATTGCACAAAGATTAACAGGGTATAGGATCTCAAATGATGTTGATATTTTTTGCCTCTAAGCACAGCGCGACGTTAATGCTGTTTATTGGACATAATGTTCTATACCTTTTAACAAAACGCGGGGGCCCGCGCGGTACACGTGGAACTATAATAAAATAACGCAATTAATTGTATAAAAGTGTAAAAATAATATGTTTTCACGTGGAAAATTACTATGTAATCTTGCAAATGCCGGAGAACAGTGTAATGCAACTCTGCACTGGAATATGGTAAGTGCTCCTATTATTACTTCCATTATCATGAACATATTGGGTAAATAATAGAAATGTAAACAAGTGATAATTGCATGCTTGTTGTATAAGTGACGAGTGGCTGAGTGGCGAGCTTTGTCTCATATGGCACGTTATTCTTTTCTTCGAAAAAATTTTAATCCAACCCATGGTAGTGCTCAGTAGTTGTTAATGCCTCTCACCGTCAATATTCTGAGGACTGACCGGGCTGAACGTTGTTTATTTTCAGTGGTCGATCCGAAGGAATGCTTCAGTGATAATTACTTATACAATTTTGTATTGTTGTTTTCTAGAGCCCCGGAGAAAGCAGCAACATGTACCTGAATGCCCCGATTCACCCAAAATGTTATCGCCAAGGCCTTAAAAAACCTTGATGTGCATTTGGATCCATCTTAAGAACTACATACAGATAATTTTGATACACAATCATCCCCCTTCGCTTTATTTACTGATATCTCAAACAAACATGAAAACGATATAGAACAGAGAACAGAGAACCTCACGGAGAAAATCTGCATATCCTGGAATGGAATTCCGCCGAAAGTTTATTTGCAAAACTTTGCCTAGAGCTTAACGTACTTATAACTCCATCTCAAGAAAAGTGTACGGTGTTGCTACTGATAATGGATCCCAACTGTCAACCACTGTTTTGCTTACTGATATTTCTAAAAATTTCTTACCATCTACAAACTTTCAACACAAAGGTACAGATAAGTTTATGAGTTTATGAGCTGAAGATTTTTCACCATTAGATGAAGAACATATACCTACCAGACACCGATGAAGACGCTACAGAGTGCGAGTATGTTGGAAAAAGGCAACTATACCAGAAACAAGTAACTCATCCATCGAAGATGTAGAAAATATGATAGACAACAGAGAAACCCAATTACTCTATCAATCAGTTAATTCCTTTAAATCCTTTCCTTCAGTTAATTCCTTTAAATCCGTTAAATTCTTTTAGCGTCTGCACTACACGCTAAAAGGATTTGACAAAGTTGAAGCAATAGAAAGCCATGGTGCCAAAAAAATTCTAACTGTAAATCTCCAAAGATGTTTACCAACACCCTATTTGACTATAGCCAAAGTTTCTATATATTACAGAAAGCTGTGGACGTTTAACTTTACGATTATGGACTCAGTTCCAATAGATAGCTGGTGTTTTATTTGGGACGAAACCGTGGCGGGTTAAGGTGGAAATGAAATGGCATCAGGAATAGTTATTTTTTTAACGATAGAGCGTTGAAAGAAGTAACCTTATGGAGCGACAATTGTGCGGGGCAGAATAAGAATGTGTACTTGATGGTGGCTTAAGTACTTCTGGATATTAACTCAAAAAGAGCATTTGTAAATAATAAACCACAAGTATTTACTAAAAGGGCACACTCACATGGAATTGGATGTGATCCACTCAATAATAGAGCGAGAAAAGAAAAAGATCCAAGAGTTTCCCATTGTTACTCCCTGGCACTGGCAGCAGTTTATTAAGAGCTGTTCAAGAAATAATAAAAGTAAAATTATTAATATGGAAACCGATCACTTTAAGGATTTTTCTGCTTTTTGTGAAGGATCATCAACTCCTATTGTTCACAGAAAAAAATCGAATGCAGGAAAAACTGTGCCTTATTCAGCTATAGTGTGGATGCAGTTCCGAAAAAATGAGATGGGTTCAATGTTCTACGAAATTTCATTTGACCAGGAAACATTCGAATAAGTCAGTTTTATTAGGATCAAACGAAGAGCATGTTTGATACCCACGATGAAACCTATTCGAGAAACTCGAAAACCCATTTCAAGACTGAAATACAACGACTTACAAAAATCTTTGCAGTGGATTCCATCCATGTTTCATGAATATTAAAAGAATCTTCCATGAGCGGAAGTTCTTGACTTGCCTCAAGCCTGCGAGAGAGCTATTAGTCTCTTAAAAATAATCAGATAAATAAATATTTCAATTTCTTATTACAGACTTATTATTTTTATTATAACAATAAATCCTCCTGTCTCCCTCGACCCCTTCAAAATTATTTCCAAGTACATTTGTATTACCTCATAATATTGTATACCTCTGAGAAATACATTTTTTTTAAAGGTATATAGCCTCAAGTCCATAAAATTAGATAATAGATAGATTTATCGTAATTATGTATAATCCATGATACTTCCCTCTATTTATAATAAAAAAAACAGCTAAGTTAATTACTCTGCCTCTATTAAAACTTTCTCAAAATTACATTCAAAATTTCACTACGCGCATTTTTGCCTCTCCTGTAAAATTTGACTTTAGGCTCTTAATGTTGTATACCTCTAGGGTACAGACATGATATGTAGTGTGTGAAGTGTTTTGTTTATTGATTTAATGTATCTTTTATGCATTATTTTAAAAATATATTTGCATTGTGCACTTCTTCTCTATATTCTCTTTCATACTCCTCCGTCCGCGCAATTTTCGTAAAAAGGGATACAAAGTTTTTGCTTCACGTATTAATTGGTATATAGATAATGATAATAATAATTTATTTATTTCTCTCTTAAAGGTATAGTACAAATACAAATGGAAATTAACCTTATAATTTATTTTGTAAGCCGAGCTGAAGTCTACTAGGTTCAAAGACCTGTATTACTAATCTCCAGGCTC